TACATTTGCTGGATTATTGAGTGGGTTATGCAGGGTAGGCAAGATTACTCAGGCAGTTGATGTGTATCAGGGAATCATCAAGAGTCAACTCAGACTTGATGCTTATATTCACACTGTGGTCGTTAATGAACTTATTAGAGCTGGTGAATTTCGTCAAGCTATCAGATTATTTCGGAATGCCGTGGCCGAGAAGTCCCAACTGGATGTTGTTTCATATACTGTTGCCATTGACGGACTAGTCAAAGCCAGTCATGTTAGAGATGCGTATGTTTTATTTAATGAGATGAAGGACATCGGTTTGGCTCCAAATATATACACTTACAGTGTGATGTTGTCTGGATTGTGCAAGGATGGAGATGTTGGAACAGTAAAAAGGCTGCTTTCCGAGATGATTGATGGAGGCATTGAGTTCAACCATATTAATTTTAGGTTGATGAAGAACATTTTGAGAAAAAGGTGCCATTCAAGCTTAGTCCCCAAGTTACTATGGGAGTTGTGGGATTCTGGGTGTGCTCCTAAGAATACACCGGCACCCGTGTTTGATAAAGATGTTTATGATTGGAATGCTAAGGATTTGCATTTTGATTACCCCTCGCTTGTTCGTGACGACACATCCAGCTCTGAAGACATCCCTGATGTAGCTGCTTCGGTTGGTTGATCGTGGATGATTCTCTGTCGCAAAGCTTCAACTGATTCCCGCCCTGAAGTTTTGTTTTGAATTCTCTATGAGAATGAGAAGCACCTCGGTCAGAGAACATTCTCCCTTTCTCCAAAAACCAAAATCAAGTCGCATTGCGGTACACCTATGTAATTGTGGTAAGGTAGCTCTTGTTTCTAATCCATCCTACTTATGTATTTTGACAAACCAGACCCGTACTTTTTTTTGTTGCAGCCCCATTTTAGCCCATTTGTCTCGTTTCTAATTTTGAATATTAAGGTTTATATTAGAGTTTTATTGCAATTGCTTCAAATTTATGCATAATGAAGACATGAAGAACTAGTTATGAAGATGTTAATATTAAGTATTATTGATTTGCTGGTACCAGGCTAGAAAATGTTCATATGTCCTTAAGAGCCTTTCTAATTTGTTTGAGGAGTGTTCTGTCTCTTATTCAAGTCCAACATATTGTAAATTGCTCTTGCTTCCATCCCAAAAAATGTCTTTTAAACCAATGTGAAACCTTTAAATCACTGTCTTAAACATGGATCATACTTATGAATGAACAACCTTGTAAGGTCCCATACAACCACATTATCTCTACCTATAAATGTAGAGAATTAGAGATACATATGAACATACTCATATAGGTTTAATTATTGTATTTTTTGGTTTAACGAAGTTTATCATATGCAACTTGTCTATTACTACGTTTTGTCAATGGTTTGGCAAATCAAATGAAAAGTTTAGGGTAAATTTTATCAGGAACTTTTTTAGGACATGGGGAGTTAATTGTATCAGGGTAAAGTTTTTCTAATACTGCTTACAATCTTTTACCTTCACTTAGTTGTTCTGCTTGTTCGCAGAATGTTTTAACAGGTATTTCAGCAAGTATGGTGAAGTACTTGATTCAATAATGATGATGGATAAAATCTCTGGACGACCAAGAGGTTTTGGGTTTGTTACATATGCTGATCCAGAAGTTGCGGATAGGGTTTTACAAGAAGTACATGTAATTGACGGCAGAGAGTTATGCATTATCATTATAATGTGTGTATGAACACACACACACACATTTATTTTTATGTTTATATTTATAATTACATTCTTAATCAGGTGGATGTGAAGAGGACAGTTCCTAGGGTAGAAACTGCGTTCAGACGATCATCAAAAACAAAGAAAATATTTGTTGGAGGTCTCCCACCAACATTATGTGATGGTAAAGATATTCCAAGTTTTCATATTCTTTCAAATCTCTTTAGGTTAAAACTTATTACGGAGTCCAAATTGATTTATTGCAGATGATTTAAGGGAGTACTTCTCTTCCTATGGAAATGTTGTGGAGCAGCAAATTATGCTTGATCACACAACTGGTCGGTCCCGAGGTTTTGGCTTTGTATCTTTTGATAGTGAAGATTCTGTTGAGAAGGTTCTATCTGATGGCCGCATGCATGAACTTAACGGAAAACAAGTGAGTCATCTTGTATATATTGATGTTTGGTACTCATAGAAAACTGTTTCATAAGTTTTTTCTGACCCAAAGAAGAGTTGCATCCATCTAACAAAACTGCTTTTTCGTGTAATATGCCAAAAATGTTTCAAGCAATATTATTACCCCCTTTGTCTCACTTTAATGGGCAACATTTGATTTTTGGTAATTGATGGTCAAAGATGTTGACCTTTGGGCGATGCTTTAAATCGATGTGTACTCCTTTTGCCCCAAAATAAAGTTCCTTCATATTGATCCGCAAGGCTGTTAAAAAGCTGAAATTGTGTGTGTTGAGATTTGTGCGAAGGAGAGAAATCATGTAAAACATAAGTTCTTTCTTTAAATGGCAAAGAAAATTGACGGAGAAGGCGTGAAGAAATGTGGTCCGCGACTTGGCTCTGTGTATGAGTATGACTGGATGAGTGGAATAGATTGAATTAGGGAATTGAAAAGGATAATGGTCTAATGGACTGGGCAGTGGGCTCTGGGCTATTAAGTTTTGGGCTTGAATTTATTGGATAGTTAGATCATATATTAATATATTAAAACTAGCATTGCACACACTGCATGTGTGGGTGCCCAAGTGAAAAAGAGGTGGGCAAAGCAGAAACACCTACATTTAAGTGTAAACAAACATATTGGATAAAGAGAAGTTTATACACATGTTTTGTCCTTAAGATCAAACTTTCTATTGCGTAAAGAGAAGCGTACTATATTTTTACAAGAGGGATAGTCTGTTGCATATAAGTCAAAAAGTTTCCTGGCTTATTGACATACAGAACCATACCAAATATTTTATAAGAGGGGTGTTGAACTACATATAAGTCTAAATGATTCCTAGGTTATTGGGGCCATTGTCAAGGCATTTTCTTAAGTACATGTGTGTGTGTGTTTAGTAATATTGTACTCCCCCCGTCCCAAAAAAAAAGACTCATAGTTTCTATCAACAGGTCAAACTAACTCTACTTTATTTATACATTTTCATAGACTATTTGATAAAATAAAATAACCTTATCACCACTTGTTTTGTAGAATTTTTGTAGTTTTTTATTAAATAATTTTTAAGTTTTAAATTCCACACCAATTTTTACTTATATTGATTTGAAATAGCTTCAGTCAAGCATCGTAAACCAAAACAGAGCCCTATTTTGGGACAGAGGCAGTATATCATACAACAGAGGTATGTCTAGTCTAAGATAATGTCGTGTAAATAAGGCTCATAAAGAAGTTCAATTAGATTATTTAGATCAAAGTATTAAAGTGCAAAGTAAAGCTAATTGTTTTGTATATAAGATGTTTTCATCCTATTGGTTCATGTTGTGAGTTTCTACTTTGTACGAATACCTTTGGCTCTTGTAAGAGACATTTGTTTCATTTATATTTCACTTCTGATATTATTAAGAGATGTGTTCAATAAGAAACAATTACTTGTAAAAAGTAACTGATTATATCTCAATACCATAACAGAATATTTTAAATTTATTAAATCAAATTTACAAAAATAAGAGGTTAATCAAACTTAATTAAGTGGCTTTTCCTTTGCACTTTTATCAGTTTTGTCATATCTATTTATGTTCAAATGAAACTTTACAAAGTTTTGATGTGTGAATGCCTATAAGAGCTGTGCATCACACTTTTGAAATGAAACAAAAATTTAGAGATTTACTTTTGTTATTGGCTAAAAAACATAGTGTTCACCCTCAACCAGTTTTTGAAATATTGTTTTTGAACAATACTCAATGATTGTTCATACTGTTCACCCTCACTGAAACCTCTTAATGTCAATCAGATTTTTTTTGAAGCATAGATAAACATATTATTGATTTAATTCTCTTCCCTTACCCTTTTTTAAATCAAAGAAAAGTGTAAACTTAATCCATGGACTCATAATTCAAATAAAATCAAATGAAACTGTAAAAATTCCCAACAAGGAATCAGCACAGAGAAGAGAAGGAAAAAGAAGAAGAAATTAATTCTCTTAAAAATCAATTTCACACTAATTGAACAAGGTGTATGATTTAATTTCAATCTAAGCACATGCAATTGGAATGAAACAGGGAAGAATCTAGTTGAGGGAAGAGATGGAAAAAAGAAAATAAATCTTTACCTGGAGGCCGAAGAAGAAGCCCTAAAGTGCGAATTGGTAAGGGAAAAAATAAATAAGGGCATTGTGGTCATGGGGCGGTGAAGAAGATCAAGATCGTGGGGCGGTGGTGGGAAGGGATGTCGGGAGAAGGAAACGGCGATAAAGGAGAGAGATAGGATGGAAGAGTGACGGCGATATAGCAGAGAGAGATTATGGAGGAGATGGAAAAAGTACAAAAATTAACCAAGTAAACGTTATAGAGCCTTAGAGTATTAGGGGGATATACCTGTCCGGACCGGGTATTTCCGGGTTTAGACCGGACTGGAACCCGGAATTCCAAATTTGTGAAGACCGGAGACCGGACCTGAATCTTTCGGACATGTCCATTCCGGTCCGGTTCAGGTCTAAATTCCGATGTGGCCATAACATGGTACTCTAGTTTTCTTAAAGGACGCCTCTTGTTGAATAATCATTTATTTGTTGAAAGTTTGAATTGGTTTCACTCTTTTGGGATGGATCATTATTGATGTGACTTGTGCCATGATTCTGAGGAGGATCCGAACCCAAATGCAGCAGGTGCCAGGTGCTCATCGGTGCCATGAATTAGCATAAAGTGACTGTTTGGCTTAGTTAAACCTCAAGCCCCTTCGAGGGTAAGCCCAAAGAGGGTCCTATGTTTTGTTCTTGTCGTGCTTGGTCTCAGTGAAGAATTACTCTTTCAACGTCTAGTGTTGGTACCAGGTATACGATTGAAAAAAGTATGGACAAGAAACGAAGTATTTCAAAGATTACAACTGGAGCAGCCGTGAATGGATGGAGGAAGTCAGGCGGCCAACAGTGGATGATGCACTTAGCAGGGGGAGGAGGTGTTGATTGCAAGGAGTTTTGAGGTTGGTTTCTAGGCCTATGAGTCTTTCCAAGGGGAATTTCATAGTGAATGTGGATGTTTTAGGGGAACCATTTGTGTGAGACCTGACCTGCAATTATGGATGCAGACACATTATTGACTTTTGGGTGCTGAATAACCAATTATGGAGTGCAATGGATGGTGTAGGCTGGGAATTTTGCTTTTTTTCCCCCCTAAATCCAAACCCACACAAATCATGCTTCTTTTGGGTATGTCTTCTGCCTTTTAGACTTGTTGCAAAGAACTAGGAACAAGCCATATGGTTTGGATATCCAGATATCACTGTTTAATGTAATTGCACCCAAGTTAATTACTCCCTCCGTCCCAAAGTTTAAGCAAACGTGACTATTTCGGCCCCTCGATAATTTTTGTTTACTCATTTTGATTGACCATTTGATAAATTAAAATATTCTTGTCGCATCTTATTTTGTAGAACTTTTGATCGATTGTTGAACGGTGTAATTTTTACTTTTTATTTATCTACCAATTTGTAAATAAAATGGTTTTAAAAGAAATGATATGGATGTGGGGGGTTACATTTGGGATGGAAAATATTGTGTTCTAATTTTGATTGTTCCAAAACCCACCCCCGCCCTCAAAATGGGGGAAAACACCTGCTTGCATTATGCTCTTAAGTTGATTATGACATTTTCTTAAAACCTTTAACCATTTATTCTGAGTCTATTCCATAAAATCCTCCTTCCTCCTATTTACAACAGCAGCAGGAATAATTCTTGGGCGGGAGTAGTTTCAGTAGAGGCCAGCAACCGGCAGCAGTCAACACATGATGCCACGATCTCGGATTAAGCAGATCTCTCGCATATTAAGAAGAACAAAGCTACGATCTCACCGCACAATTCCTCACTGTTTCCGTTTTCTTTCCTCCGTAACGCGCAATCGAGAACAATGCTCGCAACTCTCCAAAATCCATGGTAGGGGGCCCAAACCCTAGCCCAGTCACCAACGAACTCTCCTCCCCTACCATCTGCTTTCTGATTTGGATTGCTCGATCTAGAGAGCATTTCTGGATTTAAAAGAAGAGACGAAGGAATTTGCACTAGAGAGAGGGTGGATGTCACTCATCATCTCAATTTCAGTATCAATTTCTTTAATTTTCTGGTAATGCTTTGATTCCTCTCTAAAGTAAACAAGATTTCATATTTATTTCATCGATATATATTGTGTAAGAATAGTGTTGGGATTTTAATATGTGTGGAAGTTTGACAACTTTTTATACAACTTTTCAATGGAGAAAAAAATAATAAAAGGTATAGGTGGGTGAAAGCCATTGTTAGGTTGAAGAAACATCCAAAAGTGTACGTGTGCTATTGCCTCCCCACACATTTGGAACCTAGATTATGTTTATCGAGGGAAAAAATCTAAAGTGCTATGTTTTTTAAAGTTGGCCTTCACAAGCACTTCCTTCTATGGTTTCTCAGTGTGTAATTAATAATTGAAGCAAAAAATGGTGCAGCATGCAGCAACTCACCGTAGTTGCTCATCAAGTGCTCCAAAGGACTGCAAATGTGTATCTATGATTGACTATCAACATATAGTGCATCAGTGGGTAATGTAGTGTACAGAGGTAGCTTAATTAACTTTAAATTAGTGAGTGCTATTATTGCTTCCTACTTTTAATTATTTAGTGATTTTTACATGACTTTGAGATTTATTCATTATACACTTACTATGCTATCTCTAGGCAATTTGTTTGGCTGCTCATAAAAAGCTACATGAGATGGGATCTTGACTGACATGCTATCTACTGCTTTACAAAAACATCAAAAAAAAATTCCTTCCTAAAATCTGGATGTTTGTAGAGCATATTAAAAATCATTGCTCCTCAAACTTCTACCAATCTCACTATAGAATACTCTATATTAAAAACCCACTGTGACTCAAAATCGATTCGAGCTTGGCCTATTGGTTTTCTTTATCGGTGGTGCCTCTAGAATCGATACTTCTTTCTCAGTTTCATATACAGCAAATGTTCACAGAATTCATTCTTTGCAATATGGACAGACCTTGCACACATATGGGACTTTGATCGAACTTCACTGTGGCAATGATGGTGGCTGGCCGAACTATGGTTATAGTGGCGATTGGGGTGGTTGGGCTAGCAACACTACCTCGGGTATTGAGCTGAGAGCAAGGCCGCAAACCAACAGGTCTTCTTCTTCTTCATTCTATTTCATTTTATGCAATTCATATATACATAGAAATACAGAGTATTATTTTACAAATTTGGATTAATGTTAACTAAATTTGGGTTCGATTATGTTGGAGGTTTATTTTCCTTCATTGTTCAGTTCTTGATTCATGTTGTCTTGAACTATAGAGTGAAGCCAAATAGTGTGCAAATTCATTACTTCATTCCTGAACTCTTTTGGTAATTATCTTTTTTGTTTTAGAAGTGACATCAATATGTCAAATTTGTAGGTTGAAGTTTATTAGATTATTCGATTGATTAATTGAAGAATAGTGATTTTCAGTTTGGGAAGAAAATGATGAGACTAATTTTCAGAATGGGAGTTTGAATATCCAATGTTTGTTTATGTGGGTAATATCAATGTAGCGTAAATTGTTTTATTGTCTGATTTAAATATAAATAAGCCATTGATGGCTTTTGTAGTTTTGAAGGCCTAATCTCCTACCATGAGTTTTGTAAAACACTTTTAGATGAAATTCCTAAATTGATCATGATTCTAAGATGCCCTAAATAGCAGTACATGCATATTGTTGTCTTCAAACTGGTTTTTGTTTTAATTTTATGGTCAAAATGTGATAAATATTTTCATATGTACACAGGGTTATGTGTTATTCACTCTCTTTCGAAGAAGCTGAAAAAATAATGCATGTTTCTTCAGGGAAAACAGTTTGAGCAACTAAAGAACTATGGAGCTTAGGTTTGTAACCCTGTCAAACCCTTACACCAATGATGATATTATCAAGTGCGTAACGCAAGTATTCATATGGCAGATTACAAATATTGTATTGTGTCACGAGGTGGCCTTCACCGGCGATACCTCAAACCTTTATCTTGACCCTAAAAGTACCCGTGCCTTGAGGGAAAAAATTCTTATCCTCAATGTCTTATTTTGGCCTATTCTCATTGTATTGTGTAGTTTTCCTACCAAAAGATGATTGAAAAATGGATAAGGAACGTGTGGTGAGAAGAGTGATGATGTATAAATGAGGTACACTTTTGCGTATCTCATACTATAATTCCATTATAGTTGATTAATAAGAAAAGTATTAGTCTAATTAAAGAGTGAAAAAGTGAAAAAGACTCCCAAGGCCTGAAGTGTGCCTCAACAAATCTAGCAAAGATGTGGCCACCATATTAAACAACATTGAACAAGAGAAATGAAAACATAATCAATGGAAGATATAACAATAAAACCATCCTCACCTTATTGAATAACATGAACCACACTTTGACAATTTAAGATAGCTTTCTCCTCCCATAGACTCCTTGCATTCAATCAAGAAAGTGTTTCCTTGGAAGCCATAACTCTCATGCACAATAGGCTATGCAAACACTACAATCCTTCTATCACGATTACTAGAATTATACTCTAAAAAAAGAGTATTAAAAAAGACACAACGTCCAATTGCGGAAACAAACTTGCATCCACCAAATGCATGTGTGCAGCGCACTTGCGGCGTAGCCACAACTCACAAGCATATGCTCAATCTCCTCTCTCGACCCATCTATGGTGGTTGTTGTGGCAACGATACCTTCTGCTCCCACACCATCATATTTCTTAATGTTCGGTTTCCTCGCACACTCTTCATGCCATGAGCCACAGGTCATGATGAATCGGGTATCGTCTTGTTTGGTAACATAGTTCTCATTAGTTAGTGTTAATATTTAGTTGATTTCTTCGTAACATAGATTAACTTTAAAAACATTAATTTTTTTTCAAAGAGTTTTTTAAAAACAATAGTACTGAACGTTTGTCAAATTAGCTAATAGATCTATGAACTTTTTTAGAGTAAATATCCTTTACTATAATATTTGAGACTTGGCTCACAAAATTTTGACATGACAAGTCTATTTGGAGCTCCAAGCTTAAAGAAGAATAGTAATAGGAGCTTGTAGAAATTGGTCTCTTTCACTCCTTCATACTCTCTCTTTTTAAACGAGGAAAATGAATGAGATAGTGGGAGACAAAAGATTATGTCTGATCCCACCAAATATATCCTTGGGTCCTAGTCAATATTTATATATCTCATCAAATTATATTCTTCATCTTCATATCTCTGGCTTCGTATTGAATAATTTATCTGATTTATATCTTGGACCAGATAAAATTGGGCTTACTTGTACTATTCAAATAATATTAGACTAGGTAAAATTCCTAATCCATCAAAAATAATAAAATAACTTTGTAGATTGAAAAAATGATGAAATACATGTTGGTATAATGCTTAAAAAATAGAAGATTTTATACAAAATCAATGGTCATTCAATGTATTAACGATAAAAGTTATTTTAATTAATGAAAAATTAAAAGAAGAGGAGCCAAAATTTTATAATTAAAATTAAAACTAAAGTATAAATTATTTTATTTGAAAAAAATAATAAAATTAAATAAATGATGAATAATTTTACACATTTATATAATTTTTTTAACATATAAAGTTATATAATTTTTTGAATAATAACACAATAATATATCCGGAATGCATTTAGTTGAAAGGTGTATTTAATACTCCGTATTTTAAAAGGTGTAACTATCACATACTAGTACTGAAAGTTTGTCAAATTAGCTAAGAGGTATTTGAACTTTTTTAGAGTAAATGTAATCTGCAGAAAGAATAAACATATTTAAATTTAGAAAGTTAAAAACTTTGTTCAAACTTTGGTTAGAACCAAATCATTTTATATAGGGGTGAGCATGGTACGGTATGGTATGGTATTTAGTCTGTACCGATATCGTACCAAATATATCGGTTCGGTATGAGATTTTACAACGTACCGATCCCGATTCCGAAGTATCGGTTCGGTATGGTTCGGGATGGTTTCGGTTTCGGTTTCGGTAAATATTAGGACGAATATATATATATGTACCTAGTTTATACTTTGGAATGTACAAAACTTTTTATTTTAAAAAAATTGAAAGTGCATTCAAATAAAAGAAAGATAAACAATTGGAAAATGAATAATTAAATGCAAAAATATTTATAAAATTTAGTTTAATTTATACTTCATATTTCACAAACAAAAGAGAATGAATGAGAACAAAATAATATTTCAAATATTTGTTAAAATTTTTAATATAAATATACAAAAAATAAAATTCAAATAAATGATTATATAAATAAAAGATTATTTGTAATTCATCTACACTTGAACCAACTTTTCAAAATAAACTTACTTTTAAATGAAGAAATATAAAAACATTGTTATTTTTATAACGTATTTGTATATATGTTCGGTTCGGGATTTTTCGGTATGAGAAGTTACCTCGTACCGATCCCAAGTACCGGACCGACCATTCGGTTCGGTATGGTACGGTTCTTTTTCGGTATTTTATCGGTTCGGTATTTTTCGGTTCGGTAATCTTGGTTTTTTCGGGAAATTTCAGTATTGGTTCGGTACGTGCTCCCCCCTAATTTTATACTCCGAATATGTTCGATAAATAAAAAATATATGAACGCGTACTATATTTAAGAATTATTACTCCGTATTAGTTTAAAAAATGAAAGGATAATCCAATTTATCCATTGGGAATCCTACAAACGGGTGGGTTGACTCAAAGCAGTGATCCATGGGCACCCAATCCCTATCTTCCCAACAATGGCCCCCATTTTCGCTGTTTCTCATCTTTCCTTTTTCAACACTCAGCTCCCCACTCTCTCCATCCCTGCGCCGCCGGTTTCTCTTTCCCTCCACCCTCTCCGCCGAAACCCTTCCATTTTCACCGCCGTTGGAGTCCAGCAACAGACGGACAAAGGATCAGCTCTGCCGGCGCGGCAGCAGCATCAATTCGACGACTATGCGGAGGATGAATCCTACGACGAGGTTAGCAGGATCATCAGTAGCTGGGCAGTCGAAGGCGGAAGAGGGATGGAATACCTGATCGAGTGGAAAGACGAACACCCCCCGACCTGGATCCCTTCCGATTTCATCGCCAAGGACTTTGTCGCGGAGTACGAGATCCCCTGGTGGACAGCCGTCAAAAAGGCCGACGAATCCTCCTTGCGGGAGCTCCTGAACGCCGGCGACGGCGGGAGGGACGCGGACGCCGTGGACGAGGACGGGCGCACGGCTCTACTCTTCGTCTCTGGGCTTGGATCCGAGGATTGCGTCAAACTGCTCGCCGAAGCAGGGGCGAGCGTCAATTACAGAGACCCAAGCGGTGGCGGCTTGACGCCTCTGCACATGGCGGCATGGGCGGATCTACCCTAGGGATTATGGGGGCAGCTGCCCCCAGTGATTTATTTTTTTTAAATAATTTTTTTTATAGTTTTATATGTTATGCCCCCATTCAAATTTAGATATTGCTCCCAGTGGCCCAATTCATTCCAAATAATGTCTAGCCCAAGTGCCTAACACAAATATCCAATTGTCCAAAGCCCAATCATTAAAAAAATACTCCATTTTCCCATTGAATTTCTATCGGCAGAGCACACTGGCCACTGCACACACCACATTCGATTTTTCCTTTGTGCTTTGCGACTGGCGATTGGCGAATCCTTCCCGAATTTTGGTCTAGATTTTCAGGTATTATGATTTTTTACCATTGTCAATTGTGATCTAATGAATTATATAAATCTAAAAATTAGGTTTATGTGATTATGTCATTATGTGTGAATTTTTTATGTTTTGATTTAACTTTTTATTTTCTATGAAATGAAATTGTTTAATTTCTTGCTTTCTTATGTTTATTATTATTATTAATACTCCGTATAAAACATTAGAATTGATTACTCTGAAAAGATTTTATTTGTCAATTGATATACTTTAATATAATTTATTGCAATTTTTGTTTTAAATTTTCTAAAAAAGTTTATTACATTATTTTTTTAGATAAAGGAGAAGTTTTTTAAACGAAAAACTCCATCGACACCCGATTCTGGACCATCTGCACCTTCACTACCTAAATAAATTGATTTAAGTGATCTTCCGCGAAATCCTTCGAAAAGAAAAAGAATTTTAGATTATCACCCTAATCAAAGAGATGAAATAAGAAGAAAAAAATTTGATTAGAGGACCATGTCGACCCCGTGGCCATGATTTTCCACATAGAATGATTGGGAATAGTCCTAAGCATTTTATTGAAGACTGGTTTGATAAATATCGTAATTGGTTAGAATACAGCGTGAAAGCGGACAGAGCATATTGTTTGTTTTGTTACTTGTTTAGAGATCAATTTGGAAGACAAGGTGGGAATAATGCCCCCAGTGGAAAAATTTTCTGGATCCGCCACTGTTGGCGGCAGGTTATGTCCGGCCAGGAACAGTGAAGATTCTGATCGAACTTGGAGCAGACCCCGAGGCCGAGGACAACAAGGGGCAGACCCCCCTAGATCTGGCAAGAACAATCCTGAAGAAGCTAACCCCAATGCAATTCGATCGAAGGCTAGGGTTGCAAAGGGTGATTGGGGTTCTGGAAGATGCAATGTTTGAATTTGCAGAAGTGGAGGAGATAATGGAGAAGAGGGGGAAAGGGGAGAAGGCAGAGTACCTGGTGAAGTGGAAGGACAGAGAGGCAAACGAGTGGGTGAAACGCGCTGCTGTAGCTGATGATCTGGTGTGTGATTTTGAGGCGGGGGTGGAGTACGCGGTGGCAGAGAGAGTTTTGGAGAAGAGAATGGGGGGAGAAGAGGGGAAGAAGAAGGTGGAGTATTTGGTGAAGTGGTCGGACATGGAAGAGGCAACTTGGGAGCCCGAAGAGAATGTTGATCCTGCATTGATTATCGACTTTGAGAAGAAGAATCAGCAGCCATGAACCATCACTGACATGCTGCTTTCGTGTTGAGGACCATGTCCCTGGCTCGGTGCAACTTGGATGAGATGTGTAATAGGAATAAGGCTTTCTCCTAGCAGCCATTGCCATCAAGCATGGATTGGTAGTGGTGATTTTTGGAGTAATGCATATGTTGTGCTTGGTTGGTTTCTTCTCTGAACAAAGGTTTATGGTAGTTGACAGTGTCTGCATATAAAAGATGCAAACATCTTTCTTTTTTTACTTCTTGATCAAGTTTTGAATGGTTTTACTAGGATCTTATTGTTGGGCTACTATTTCTCAATTGAAATTTGAATGACAACATGAACTTCTTTTGGGTCTCATAGATGGGGAAATGAGACAGTGGCCTCTCAATTGATATTTGATAGCATGAACTTCTTTTCCTTATATATGCATACACACCCACATGCTTCGTAGTAAGCACAAGCAACAAATAAGTGTCAAAAAAATGTCCTCAAGGCCTCAGCTAACCATTCTGTTGGTGATTTTAGTCTATCGGTTATTTTGTGTGATTGAATTTATCTAGACAAGAATTTGAATAGACGTTGTCAAACGAGTTAGGAGGTGTGAACTATGGAGTGCACACTTGTTCAACTATATGGATATATGTTCGAAAGTACCCCGAACTACAAGCAATCTTTCGTAGAAATAAATATTTTCGCGTGAACATTCATGTCTGGCCATTGTTTTTCATCTATATAAATATAGATATGGGGGTATGGTTGAAGCATTGGATTTTGAAGTTCTCTTTCTTGATTCAATATCTTATTCGATTAAATAATTTTGGTATACTACGAAATAGCTTTAACTTACAATTAGTTATACTCTATCATGTTCTTCATCTCATTCTTTATTCACACAAAATTGCACACTTTTAGTTCTTCGTCACGTTCTTCTAGAAAAGGTTAGGAGACATAACAATAATTTACGAATGAAATATTGTAAGTGTTTCAATTGATTTCTTGTAAAAAAAAAGAGGCCAAATTAAGGAAGTACGTATATTTTAAACCATGTCTCACTTATATTTTTTGATATAGTTGAAAGTTAGTAAAGTTATTATGTCTTAATTTGAAAATGAGTATATAAATCTTTTCTAATTATACTCGTTAATGTTTTTAATTCTGTCAAAGTTAAACAAAAAGTTTTTACGACAAGGAGAGTATAAATTAAACCTTATTCTTTGTAATTTATTTTATTAACTTATTACTTGTACTTGTGAAAATCACATAACTTATATCAGTAACAACTTTAAATTATATTAATGATAAATTATTACGTTATACTAAAGTTAATGTTCATTTTATGAATCTTAGTGTAATGATATCATAAAATAATTGAAACTTTTATAAAAAAGAAAAGATTCTAATATCAATTCCTGAAAATATAAAAACTTAGACCATGTGTTATAAGACTTGATCCACGGGCGTAAAAGAAGCGTCACGCCCTGTCACGGCGTGACCACCGCAACACCGCGGGTGTTGGGGAGGCGTGACAAGCCGGGCTTGATGGCGCTCACGAGCGTTGACCCTCTTTTTATTTTTTTTTTAATTTTTTTATTTTAAATCAATAAAAATTTAATACATCTTCACATATCATCCGTTCTCATCAAACTCACCATAACACATTTTTTCATCATTCCATACTATACATTTTTACCCCATCAAGTTTGGCATAACACATGTCACTAGATTATTCATATCTCCTCTCCCTTGAAAAATTTAAATCACTTTTATAAGTGGATTAAAAATGAATAAAAAAAGAGTAAAGGACACGTATGACGTAAGGGCAAGATCGAAGGGGAAGAAGATCAAGACACATCTCTGCTTCTACGACATACACGGAAGAATTCCAAGGTCGGATAATCAGTATATGTATATCTTCATAGATAGAGATACACAGACATACGGAATATAGGGTAGTGGGATATGGGTTGCTCCTCTTCGGTTCCAGGTAATCCCCAAATTCGAACCCTAATCTTCGTGCCTGCTGTAAGATTTCTTCTTCAGCTCAATTGATTCTGTGTTCTCCTCAATTCCCTTCAATGGAGACCAATTTGACTTGATTCTCTGAGATAAAGCGGTTTTTCTTTGGTGGAATGGTGGCTATTGGTTGAATTGTTTGTTAGGGTGAAGTAGTTTTTGTTCTGTTTTGTTTTTTTTTTTTTAAGTTTTTCTTTTCTCGTTTGATGTTTCTACAGATAGGAGTTTGGGACAGAAGGGAGGTCTTAATCCTGACAATGGTGCTGCAAATGACCCTAAGAATCTCCGCGTGAAGGTATGCTTAGGAGTTTGATTCATTCTTGCTTGAAAAAAAATTGGACTGTTTATAAGGAAAAAGAAGTAAACTAATGGAAAATTTAAAAAAATTACAAAAATGATAAAGCTATGGTCTTTACTCTTTAGGGATAGGATAGTGTTAGCAAGTGGCTCTTTATAGCCATGAGACAGAGCCCAAAGGTATGTTGAGCCAATGTTCGGAATTGTGTATTGCGGTTTTGAGGCGTTTTTATGTGAAGGCGAATTGCATAAGCCTCAAGGCGTAAGCCTCAATCTTAAAGTTTAAAATTGTGTATATAATATTTTCAAAAAAAATTGAACATTATTAATAATATAATTAATCCATTAACCTTTAAAAAGTATATTGGCAACGTAAAATATCTCAAACAGACAAACACGACAAAGTCTAGCATGAAACAATACAAAATATTGGCCTAATACGATGTTAATAGTGTAGATGCAATTTTCAAGTTCAAATGACAAATCAGTAGCAATAAAAATAAAAAACAATGACAAATTATTAAGAATAAATGGTACCTTTAAAATACATAAATTGGTAAAAAAAACAAAACATGTAAAATAATAGAGAATGGAAAAGCAGCTCTGCTAGGAAGTTCAAAATTCGATGAAAGATAGATAAAACGGTATAGGAGAGGCGATCGAGTAGGGTTAAGATCTATTCAGGTAATTTAACTTTTAAATTTTGTAATTAAATTACTAATTTGAGACTAACTTTATTCTTTTGGGAAGAAAATAATGGTGTACACTATTCTATGCCTCAGTGCGTACGCCTCAGGACTTACGCTTTTGCCCGCCATATCTGCGCAATATCTATGCAATCTTTATTGCCTAAGGCTTAGTGGCCATAGGGCATAATCTTTCGGAAAATGCCATGAGGCATGCCATATGGTGGGTTACGCCAAGCAATCTCGAACACTGTGTTGAGCTGCTAATTTGTTTGCATATACAGTATAGGGAGATGTATTATTTGTCTCCCAAGACAACTTGGGTGCTTTCCAGATAAGGAAACAGGAAAGGGATTTAGAAATTGATTTATTGTGAGCATGCCAATACGCTCTACTTAACCGCCGAACGCTCTGAGCCAATCACCATAGCATCTTTACCTTAATTGTTATGCTGTAGAAGTAGAAATGTTCTTTCTGTGTAAGTAGTGAGAAAATGAAAAATAAGGGATTTATAAAAGTATGCGACTTTAAGAATGTTTTGATGCCTTGAAACAAATGTGTACAAAACAGTCTTTCTTAGCTCCCTTTTTATCAAAGCACGAGTTTTGTACTGCCACACCTAACCTTCACGATGATCTTTGCAGTTGGTACTGCTGGGTGATTCTGGTGTTGGAAAAAGCTGCATTGTTCTACGTTTTGTTCGTGGTCAATTTGATCCAACATCAAAGGTAAAGCTATCTGATGATGGGTTCTAGTTAGAACCTTTCCAAATTCATAGCTTCAGTGCTTCATGTAGAACAATAGATCTCGTAGCACCATTTTTATTGTTTTATTGTTTTTTTACTGTTTTATCTCTATCTGTTTCCCTTGGGCAGTTACACTAGAAAATAACTACTCCGTATATGTTTGGTTAAATTCCTTATTTCGATATTAATTTTCAACTTCATTTTGTTTCCAACATATATGAATGCATTTAATGTAAGAATAAATTGAATAAATATAGCCCCCCTCCACCGCCAACACACACACACAAATCTGTCAACCAAACAAGGCAAACAACGGATAAGTGCATGTTAAATTCTTTCATCTTTTAAATTCCAAACGGTATAGAAGTAGCAGATTTCTAAATCGGATTGTTTTGATGGCTTTAGGTTACTGTTGGGGCTTCCTTTCTATCGCAGACAATAGCCCTGCAAGATTTGACTACAGTTAAGTTTGAGATTTGGGATACTGCTGGTCAGGAAAGGTATCATTTAAACTCCAATATCTCTAAGGACCAGTTTCAATAAAAATAAAGTCTCCTAGTTTTATACAGGCTACTTTATTATTATTATTATTATTATTATTATTATTATTATTATTATTATTATTATTATTATTATTATTATTATTATTATTATTATTATTATTATTATTACCATCATCATTATATAGGTATGCAGCGCTAGCGCCACTTTACTACAGGGGTGCTGCTGTTGCAGTTGTTGTATATGACATCACAAATCCGGATTCATTCAACAAAGCACAATATTGGGTCAAGGTAAAACTCTAAGATTATCACGTCTACTAAATCTTTGATCAAGTCAAATACAATGATGTGAGGGTTTCCGTGCTGTGATGATTGGAGTGGTGCAGAGAATGATTCTTCTCTTGGTTTGATTTCTGCCATTTTGGGTTATTTTTAGAGTTTTGATTCCTTTTGATGTCAAGCGTACTGCCATTAGATTGGCACATGCTCTCGCTCATTTCAGACCTCTATCTTGCAGAGTAGGTTGGGGTGGGGGGAAGTCTTTTCCTTACTCCTGGCTGATGAAGATTTAGGGCCCTTGGTGCCTATAAAAACATACTCGTACTAATTAGTCGTCCTCTTCAATATCTGAAACTTTCAATTACTTTTGTTTGCGTACTGATAAAACAAAATAGGCATGTGTAGAACTTTTGATGTAGTTCTTAAATATGTAAGTTGTACTTTTTATTTTTATACCAATTTGTAAATAAAATCATTTTAAAAGAGAGGAGATTTTGCATGTTGTGCAAAACAGGATAACCAATTTGGGACGGAGGGAATGTATTAGTATACGGCCTACCATACTTACACTGCCGAATACGGAGTATGTGTTTGTATAAATATGAGATAAGTGACCAACTTTCGCATAATGGCATTTGTAGGAATTGCAGAAGCATGGAAGCCCCGATATAATCTTGGCCCTTGTGGGGAACAAAGCCGATCTCAATGAAAAACGAGAAGTATCTGTTGAAGTGAGCAAGACTGTCTGTCCTTCAATTAATTTTCCTGAAAACTTCTTTTTTAAGTTACCAACACTTGATTTACTGTGTGCATTATGAACTATGAAGGATGGAAAGGAGTATGCTGAAAAGAATCAAATGTTCTTCATAGAAACCTCTGCTAAGACAGCAGACAATATAAACCAGTTGTTCGAGGTGTGTTTCTTCCCCATGTATAGGAGCTTTATTGTTGATGGAATGATGAATTTCTTTTCAATTTTCTTTTTTCTTTTGGGGGTATTTTTCTGTAACAGGAGATTGCGAAGAGGCTGCCACGACCATCTGTTTCTTGATCCTCAAGCACAGGGAAGGCAGCGATTCGATATAGATATGCCTGTACTCTATTATTATGTAAATAAAAAAGGAAAAAAATGGTATCCAGGTTCTTCTTGGGAGATTTATCTAATTGTGCTTGGCTGCTCCTCATTTGTGTCATTTCTAAATTGAAAGTTGTTACTCCTTTTAAAGTGTGCTCATTATTTTGGATGCCCAACTGTTATAACAATATGTAAGTTTTGGGCACTTCTTATTTATTTTTGTTTGAGTGATATTCTCTAATCAGATTTACTCTTATTTTTCTTTGCAAGTCATTTTGTTGGGCGTTCTTGCTGGTATGATATCTGTCCCTAAACCCTAAATTGGGTCCTGGGTTTTTGTCCGCCTAGGCGCTCTTATCGCACCTGCTCCTACCCCTCTCGCGCATGGACATGTGCTAGGGGCAGGCGGTACTGGAGGAGTAGGTGCGATAGGAGTCTGGGCAAGATGTTTTCCATCCGAATTGACAGATATTCGTTCCAACAAGAGCGTCCAGCCCATTGACAGATATTATAAGAGAATATCGTTTGAACAAAAATAAACAAGAAATGTCTAGAACTCAGCAGATTGTTGTAACAATGGCCCATGTGTAAGCCATCTAGGCAAAAAATGGTATCCAACTTCTTGGGAGATTTATCTAATTATGCAACTCATAGTCGTGTTTTGTAAGTGTGCTCATCACTTCGGATGCCCAATTTGCTTTCAAAATGATTCATGGAATGGAGATATTACTTGCTATGTCTATATATCTATCTACAAACCGGTCGATCAGGTCGGGTTTAGTCATCTTGGATTCAGGTTACTTCGGGTTTGGATAAGTTTGGATTCGGGTATCATCTGGTTCTGATTGATCCAACGGTTATGAGTTTCATTTATTTATTTTTTTTGAAATTTTAAGTAGTTTTTATGACATAGTGTCAATAATATGAAAAAAATAAATATGTAGAAATTTTGAAAAAATGTAAGAATTATGCGATATCATTAAAATTTAGTATGAAGAGATAAATTTGTTCACAAAAAACGAGTAGTAATTAAAGAAATATAATTATAATTTTATTTTTGTAACACTATTTCATATTAAAATACTTTGTATATGTTTCTAAAAAAATCTTGCTTTAGTAGGTCAGTTAGGTCGGGTTTGAGTTCAATCAAATTTGACCAATTTTAGTGGGTCATTTTGGATCCAATCAACTTAGGGTTCGACCAGCAAAATCATTACTCAAAATTCAATATGTTTGGGTCGGATAGCGGATAAAAAATAGGTCATATCATTTTTCACAAGTCTATCTATCTATGAATGATATAATGACGTGCTGTTTATCACAAAAATGAACCCAAAAGTCTCAATTCCAAATTAATGGAGCTGGGATTGGTTAAATACAGATTAAGTTGAAAAAATTCATTCTCCATATCATTTCCATATCATTTAGGTTCTGTTTGATACACAAAATTAACAAAATTGGAATTGAATTGAGAGTTTTTATGAAATTAATTTGGATAGAATTGAAATTCTCAATTCCAATTAATTTTTGGCACTATCCATTCCAAATTCACATATTTTTGTGCTATCAAACAACAGAATTAGAATTGTTGTCTTCAATTTCAATTCTATAATTTGAATTCCATATACCAAACGAAGCCTGAGAGTGCTATTCTTGCAAATCTACCTTGTACTTCAACGGTATCTTTGAACTATTGTAATTCTAACTCTCAACTCAATATCACCTTAGTTCTGATTTAAAAGATCTGGTTACATAAACCAATTTTTTAAAACATACTCCTATATACCAAGGTCATCTTTTTTGTACCAACTGAAATTCTCCTTTACACCTTCTCAATCAAGGTCATTTTTTATCAACCCTGCTTTTTTAAAGTCAATCACACTCCAAACAAAATGGTTGCAAGAAAGGTCATACCAAAAACAACAATGTCATCAAAACAACAAAGAAGAAGCCACACTAAAAAGTCTCTTCTTTACCAGTCACCCCAATTTCTCCATGAATGTTTCTGTCAATGTGTGCCCGTTCACTATTTTTGTAGTCAATACAATCAAATCATATGGCATCCCCTCCTGCACTTGCATCAACACATTAGGAAATTGACCAATATAAGCCTACTAAAAGGGAGTAAAAGCAAAAGTTTCATCTGGTTTAATGAAGTAATTAAAATTGTTTTATTGAAAGAACACTCATGTCGCATATGGTAGAACTCATTGAGTGCCCAAACAGGGTTTAAAAATTAATACATTCTCTATCAAGGATTTTAGAGGCTAGAGCCACCCCTAATAATGCAGAGATTCATTTTGATTAATGAAGAATTAGAAAAGACTACCTGGGAACTCAGGAACCGAAGAGCATTGATCTCCGCAAAGGTCACCCCACCAATGAAAACAACAAGCACCAATGACCGCCTTCCATCACCTATTCTGAAATACCAATAGGTGTGGCAAAAAACAATGATTTGGAGTGAGAATTGTATCTTTAATGCTACACATCTTAGGGGAAGAAGGACCAAGAACCGGGCCTTAACTCAGATGAAACAGAAGGAAATGCAATACATTAACTAAAAATAACAGTACTATGCAATACATTAACTAAAAATAACAGTACTATGCAATACTCAAGATAGCTATTTAAGGAATATCCAACTATTAGATTTTATGAGCATCTTTTCTTCTCCTTATCTTACTTTGAATGCAAATTAATGGTGCTTTCCGTCTGTGTTAGAAGCTCTAGGTTTGTGCCCGAAATAAAGGCACATGGAACACACTATATTTCTACGGAGTAGGAGATATTAATTAATTAGTACATGCATAAAATATGTACACAAGGTCAGAACATTGCTTGAGCCTTACTTGTCAGAGTAGTCTATGGACCCTGGCAGACTGTCAAAGGACGGATTGCTTGCAAACCCACTCTGTAAAGATTCATGCAAATACATTTCGGACTTCTATGTGGTCTCGCTATATGAATTGAAAAATGAAGGTATGAAGGCTTACCCTCTTACTGTCTGAATGGGGCCCTGGCAGCAGTCTTAATATTTCTTCAATGGGGCGCCTGTAACATTTATATGTATAACCGGTTTACCTTCTTAGGTATATGCATGACTGTACCAATTATTTAAACTCATTGTCATCTCATCATCTCATGATTTCCATGAAAGTAGATAAAAGCTATGATAATGAAACTGAGATTGATCAACACGGTAAATTCTAGGAGTACTGGACTAGTAGAAGGTTCATGGCACATTGCTTTTACCCCCAACTAAATGGAAAAAAGAATGCAATTAAAACTTTTGTACAAAAGTACTTCATACATGATTAGATTGGTTCTCCTTCAAGAAAAGTAAATGTCACATACATTAATGGTACAAGCTCATTTTACTTCCCATGTCCCAAGTATGTTCCACTTTCCCAAAATACAATCAGTTGTAGATAGAAATCATTTATGTAGATATAAGATCATAGTAAAACACCAAAAACATCAACAACAAGCCAGTATAATCCCATCTCCATTGGGGTCTGGGGGAGATGTACTCACCTTACCTCTGGAAAAAACAGAGAGGTTGTTTCCGTTAGACCCTTGATGCATTGATGTATTTACTGCCCAAAACTTCATAGAAAGTAAGAAGCAAGAGAAGTTTAATGTGTCATTTTGATTTAATCCATTCTTTACTCAAAGCTAAAACATTTTCAAAGATGACTCTTTACACTCCATTGACTCAGATATAAGATTATAGTGCAAATTAAAATAACAAAAAATCACTAACATTAATTCAATTACAGTAATTACAAAATTATATACAGCAATATGGTCAATACTATCCAACAGAGCTCTTAAAAAAGAGATTACCACCCAGATCGGATTGCATGCTGAACCAGGCGAATGCTGAGAGGTGCATATCCAGAAAAGACATAGGAAATATCTCTGGGGCTGCATTACGCACACAATGTTCAGAATCAGATACAAAGTAAACATCTGAGTAAATTATATACGGAGAATAATGCAATAGTCAGATTAAAACATTATTAGATAGTATAGATACACACTAATGACACGTCAACTCCTTAAAGATCAGATACAGAAATAACATATTGCTCATTTTGGCCTAATAATCTTAGCTGAATACAATCTGCTTTTTCAATGGAAGAACTCTTTCTTTTGATGTCTTCCATTCCAAATATGAACACAATTGATTTCCTTATTCCTTCTTGACAAGAAGACAGAAGATGCAAATGTAACACAATTTCAAGGATGAATATAAGACCCCTTAAGGCTTCATATAGTAAATTCTCACAATTTTTCTGAAGTTTAATATATTTATTCAGCTTAACAAGTACTATGAGTGGCAGTGTTTATTTTAGTTGAGCCTTTAAAGAAGCAGAATAATTGCATGCGGCTAAAACCAACAGCAGTCACTGCATAAAATGCAAAGCACATGTGCGATCACAACATTTTCTGAAGTTTAATAAAAGTGGATAAGCTAGAGTAGACTTCCCCAAAGAGAAATACATACTTGGCAGTGTCAGTGTCCTCCACAATAAGCTGAAGAGCACGTTTAATAGTTATCCAGTTGCTTTTTGACTCCTAAGACGAAGACCAAATGCCAAATTCACTATGTTATGGAACTGAGCAATACACCAAATAGAGCAATGTACCAACCATCGTAGTATTGTACCACAAACCTGCTTCCTGAACAATCCCGCCTTTTCCAAATTGTTTAATGTAGCAATGTGCTCAAAACCATAGCTGTGAAGTAGCTCTCGCCTACAAAAGACAAGACACATAAATTTGTTAATTTTTTCAATAATANGCCAAATTCACTATGTTATGGAACTGAGCAATACACCAAATAGAGCAATGTACCAACCATCGTAGTATTGTACCACAAACCTGCTTCCTGAACAATCCCGCCTTTTCCAAATTGTTTAATGTAGCAATGTGCTCAAAACCATAGCTGTGAAGTAGCTCTCGCCTACAAAAGACAAGACACATAAATTTGTTAATTTTTTCAATAATATCCAACAACATACCAATTAGAGAAATTTGAAATAGAGGAAAATGACATTTATATCCCACTCACCTTAAGTAGTCATAGTTCTTCTTTGGTAATCCAGAATTTGTGATCGAAAATAATATGAGAATGCGTAGAACATTGACAAGAGGTTCCTGTTTATGGATCATCTCCTCGATGTACTCGAAGCATCTGCATCACATGAAGCATTAGATTTCACTTTATCTTTTATTGTTATGCAATATGCAAGACTAGAATGCTGCAAATGTTTTTGGATGCATTAACTAGGGTTAAATGATACAGACGACAAGATGGGGTTACAAGGATGCTTCGTATTGGTCATCAATCATCATAGTGTCACATATTTCATATTACTCAAATGCTTGTCATGGAAAAACAAAAAATTAGTTCCATTTATTTCAGGAAAAAAAGATGAACCAACTTCAGAAAAAATAGAGAATGGGGTCACTTCCATAATAAAAGATGCAAACTGTAGCAGAAATATAAGAAAAACTACTTTGACAAGAAAATCACAGAAACTCTATTAGCAGTGTAGCACAAAAGAGATAAAGAAGGAAATATAAGGGGGGCACTCTTCATTTTTGCATAAACTAATGGGATAAAAGTGCATACATCCATTTCAAGAGTAGATTTTATTAGTGACACAAAGATGTTGTAATTTGTAAAGCTTTATACAGTATAGATACTAGTAAAATTTCCTATTATTAGTATTACTAGTACTAATTTTCTAATATTAGTATTAGCAATAATCTCATATTCATATTGGGATTCTTTTTATTATATTCCTAATATGAATATTGTAACAGTAAGGACTCCAGTACTTGCTCACCGAGATTCTTGGGACTAGTATAAAACTATAAATGGAGGGGTTTTGTTCAATAGTAATGCCATCAATAATTTTGGAGTTAATTCATATACGTCTTTGGTAAAATCAAACACAAATTCCCTCTCCCAAGGGAAAGAAGGAAACCTTACTCCTCCAAGGGCAAGAAGGAAACCTTACTCTCCCAAGGACAAGTAGCTTTTTATGTTCATAGTTTTCATTCATCGTCTTCTTCTCCTAACCATGTTTGTGACATTGCATATGTTGCAATTCAACTAATTCCTCTACTCTATGCATTTTCATTTCTCATATCAACATTCATATTTCTAGTAGACATTGTCATAAGATAATGCCTCACCCACACACCAACACAATCATTTGAAGCATTGACTTGTACTCCTTAATAAATAAGATTGAACTGGTACTCTATCCTTGCAATGAGCCAATGATCACAGGCAATAATTTTATTAGAAAATTATTATTTGAGATAACTTATATTTATAGTAAAACAGATCAAGTAAAACAGCAACAAAAAAACATATTATCCATACTGAGCTATTTTCAGTCAATATTTAACAATAATCAATTAAAGAATCTATACATGTAGTTTAAGAAAACATGAACACCTATAAACCTAAATTTGAGACCCTTTCAAAACTTAGGGCCTTTCAAACCAATAATAAGATAAGTTTTCCAATTAACTCACATATCGTAACTTTCAGACTCCACAATAGTATGTTCCATATCTAGCCGCCCAAGAAATGAAGGTTTAGATGTAAATTTATTCAAATGCTGAGCAAGATGTATATGCCTCTGGAAATGAGAGAAAAATATTAGTATCATACTTTTTTTGGCAATACTGCAAATGGCTGTTACCAAATCCAGAGTATAAATGAACTTACTGTCATTTCAGGCAATGAGTTGAGTTTTTTAACGAAGTCTTTCAATTCAGAAACAGTTTGGTTCTGCATAAAATTCACAACCAATTAAATGTAAGGTTTACAATATAACATATTCATTCAAAAATCTCTCTCACACAGTCATTCACTACAAGATACACACAACATAGGTAAAAACCTAAAATAAATTATTAAATTAGTTGATTTGGAGCTGCAAAAATGAGAGTATCAAAGAGTCTGCATCCCAGTCTTCATTTTATGCGATAAGCCTTCTCTATTAATTCCACTTTAAGTGGTCTAATTAACTAGTTGCTGGGATATAAAATTATGTTTTTTTAAAGCATGCTAATATTTATATATAATTCTAATCACGTATTGAAGCAATAGGCATCTATGCACATTTAACAATTACAAGGACTTACAGTTGTTTGCATCTCATTGTAATCTTGTTTCATAGATGTTGCTCTTTGACGTAAAACCTGCAATTGCACTGTAAATGGCAATTAAAAGACCACAAAAAAAAAAGAACGAACCGATTATGCAAATTCGGAACATGGAAAAGGAAACATTATGAAGATGACATGGAAAAAGATGTCCAAAATCGCCTAAACTTTTAAAACAGAACTGAAATGACAGATCAACCTGACCGACAACTTCGAAATTCTGATCCCGTATCTCTTTGAATAGCTTGTCACTGCAAGAACATACTAGGTCAGCCAGACCAAGAGGTAACTATGTGCTATGCATGGCTAAGCATATTTAGGGGTAAAAGTCATGACTGAAACTTGCAAGCCTAAACTTTATTATTGAAAATACTCAAAGAGTTCATACAATAAAGAAGTCCTAAGAGCTAAAAATGCTTGTTAGAGTTCAAACTTCAAAAAATTTAGTAAAGCCAATTTCAACCCTGAAAAGCTTATAACCTTATAGTAATACAAATTAAAGATAAGACTTCTCTACCAATAAACAGTTAGAGGAAAAATTACCTAGAATTTAGAGGAACCTTCATTTTCTTCCCCTCTTGCTGGGCACCCATTATAGAAGAATCTACCTCCACAGCACCATTATTGATACCAAGAAACTGTATGACACCAATAAAATATATACAGCACCTATGATTCACTTTAACACGTGAGAATAGTAATTACAAAAATAGGTTTTTACCTCATCCATTAGCCCTTCATAAGTTAACTGGGAACACATAGGTGTAACCATGTCCACCTGCAGCAGGGTATGAATTTTAGAATTCTTTAAAAACATTTTCATACCATGTCTTATATAGAAGACTTATCAAACCTCTCTCGACATCATTCCCTCACAATGCATGTATATGCAACTTTTTACAAAATAAAAGGAAACGTTGAAAACAAGAAATTTCTTTAAAGGGAGTGAATACCTCTCTGTCAATGAGGATGAGAGTGTTAATCTCTGGCACAACAACCTGCGTGTGAATAAATTCCAAAAAGAAATATTAACCTACGGTGTATGAGGCACTCAGTTTTTATGTATTCTCAAAGGCACCGTGTTTTAAATACATCGGTGATGTTCACTGGTTCTTCATCTTGCATCCTATTTAAAATGTCAGCAACACGGACAGATGCTTTCCCTTTGGCTCTCACATTTGGTATTACACCAAAGGAACACTGCACTTTTCAATTAAGACATCAATAGAAAGAGTGAACGGAAGTGCTTTTGCAGAACCTACTTTTCTTTATGTTTATCTTCATCTATGTTTATATGCCAAATGCTGATAAAGTTGTGAAAGAAAAACCTCAAGCTTGTGAATGGCTTTTGCTATATGCCAAAGAGAGGTTGTGTCTCCATCAACTGTGAATTCCTATCAGGAAAAATGAAACTACATTTATATGTATGTCTTAAATGCGAAAAAATGTTGTGAAACATCAAGCAAAACAAGGATCAGACATACTCTGTATGCAGTATCGAGTTCAAAAGACAAAACATCTTCATCCAGAGGAAGTAGATACAAGGGATACTCGCCTATGGTCAATAAGTGATGTACTTTCTCTTCCTCTAGTACCTATGTTGCATGCAAGTTCAGCAAAAAAACTACGCCAAGATCTGATCCTCTAAAGCATAAAACAATTCCTTGTCGGATTAGGGAGCAAACCTTTTCGCATACAACTGCACGGCGAGGAACAAAATACAAAAAATACTCTCTTTGAATCCCCTTAGAAGTATCATTATGAATGTCTGAGCAAATACTCTTCATCAAGCCAAGCTGAGCTCGAACAAGATAAACAATTTTAGTACAATCTGTTTGGATTGGTTCACTTGTAAGGTGCCGCAATTCAGCCCCTAGCTCCTGTTTAAGGTTTCCAACAAAACAAGTTTGAAATTAACAATATAGCAAACCCATCATTGATGGTCCATTTGCTCCTCAACATATGATATTCTCTCAACAGTTTACTTTCACCTAATTATCTCAAGTAGCCATTTTGAAATAATAATAATAATAATGATGATGATAAAACACCAACAATAATAATAATTGATCTTAAGAAATTGGGCATTTGGGCGATGAAAGTTTCAATGTTAATCCACTGATACGCTACATATAACTGAAATATAAAATCTATAGCAGTTAAGAAAATAAATAGCTCCAAATGAATGAGTAACAAAAAGTGGCAGGTCGAGATAAAGAATGATGCCTTGAGTATTGAGCTCTGCACAATAAGTGAGAGTGAACCACTGAGCTTAGGATCAATAACCAAACACTTCTGCCCTCGAATCTGCAGTTTTCCAAAAGAAAAAGCAACACTTTTAAAATAAAAATTACAGAACTGAGACAAATTCATTGAGCACTACGACAAGCTGACAGGAAAACTCACAAATTAGGCATTGCATCGGTGTAAAGCAGCACAGATGAATTCATAAGAAGAAGAAAAGGTATAAAACTTACGTTCTTCAAAATCATCATGAGCTCCTTCTGCGATTGATCTCTGTATACCAACACAGCAACAATTTGTCATCCAGATCAAACGCGGATGTGCAGAAAGGAAGTGGAATTTAAAATTTTAACATGATAATAATAATAACAATAATAATAATAATCAGAGATGGAATATGCGATAAATATTCACCTTATGGAGGTGAGGTTTATGGGAGCATTGTCGAGATTTGGGATTTGCGCCATTTTGTCGCCGTCTCCTTCTCTTCTCTACTCTCAGCTCTCCTGCAAAACTTAGCGCCCAGGAAGCGAGCGAGCGGAGATCACCAGATTCACTTCAAACAGTAGCACATTCCATACCGGGTCCGGATCCGGACGTTTTATTAGTTTGTCCCGACTCCCGATCCAAGTGTTAACTCAGCCTGTCAGCCATTATCTACAAAATTAAAAGGGCTTGGTTCCCATCAGTAGCGGTGCATACAAATCAAATAAAATGTATTCGATTCGTGATTCGTATTTGAAAATGATGATTCGTATTCGCTATTTCGAATTCGAATCCGAATACAAATCATATTTTAGATTCGAATTATATTCGAATTCGAATACAAATATTAATAGATTCGATTCGTTTATTATTCGAATTATTCGAATATTATAATTTATAAATAAATTTATATATATTCTAACATATTTTTACTACATTTTACATTATTATAAAATAATAATTTAATGTCTTTAAGAAATCTATTTTAAGAAAAAAATTACTAATATTTTCGAATTCGAATATTCGAATACGAATTCAAATACGTCAAATATCTATCGAATCGAATACGAATGTTTTTTAAAATTCGAATTATATACGAATCCGAATTCGAATACATATCACTTTAATCGAATACGAATTGAATAGTGGTATATTTGCTTCGATTCGATTCGTATACACCCCTACCCATCAGTCATGGATGACCCGAGGATGCTCTGGTGCCTCATTTGTAAAAGTGACAATTTTTACTCCAAGTAAACTCCCTCACTCCGACCCGAACACACCCCCTCACTCCCTTCAATTGCACCATCAAGTTAATTTTGATTTTGGAGTTAAAATTTGACTCCAAAGTCAAAATTAACTTGGGAGTGCAATTGAAGGGGGTGCGTATTCGTTTCGGGACGGGGTGAGGAGTTTACCAGGGGCTAGAAATCGTCAATTTTACGAACGGGGCACCGAAGCACCCCCGGGTGATTCTGAATGTCATGGGAACCGGTCTGAAATTAAAATAAGGGTGTGCTAATTCGGTCCCTTTTGGCAAAATCAAATTCTTTTATACTTCCTCTATCTCAAATTAAATTATATGTTTACTATTTACATAGTCAAATTTCATTTACTTTCTTTTTTTATTTTAGTTAGTCATTTGATAAGATAATATAATCATGTCACCACTAGTTTTAGATTGATGTAGTTTTTAAATAAGTTATTTTTATTTTTTAATTATATACCATTTTTCATATAAAATAATTTGGAAATAATTTTAGTCAAACATTCTAAAATGAAACAAACAATTTAAATTGAGATGGAGGGAGTACGGAATAACATAAAGTTCAATTAAATTACTTAAATTTGGTCAAAAATAAAATAATTTATCATAAAAATTTAAAGTATATGATTTTCAATAGTTATAGTTAACTATAAAAATTTACCTTCCAAAATTCTCAAACCAAACATAGTGTGATTAACACTAAAAAATGTGAGACAAAGAAAAGAGAATTGCCCCTTCCGTTCTGAAATGGATACCACTATCACTATTATGACATCTCGATAACTTTTGTTTGTTAGTATATTTTCATTAATAATTTGATAAAATAAAATATTCTTGTCACTTCTTATTTTATGTACTCTTCAATGGTGTAATGTATACTTTTTATTTCTAAACTAATTTGTAATCTAAATAATATTACAAACAGTGAGATTTTACATGTTATTCGGAATGTGGCATCGAATATGGAACGGAGAGAGTACATGAACAACAGCTTTTCATGTTTGGTTGGAAAAGAAAAGAAAATTGGGAGAAAGAACAAGTTAAGATGATGGAATACAAGGTTGATTCCATTTTGGTTTTGAAAATAAGAAAACCATTTTTCCTTGTGAAATTTGCACTGAATAGGACTAAAACATAAGTCATTTCTCAATGTAGGAATTAAACTTTTTATTCCTTAAATAGAACTTAATAATGACTGGTGAGAAGAATAATGTCCAAGTAATACTGGACATTTAGTTGAATAATGACTAACAGATAATGATCATGGTCCTACATTGGGAAATAAAAACATATGTTTTTATATTGAGAAAGTCATTATGTTTTAGTCCTATTTAAGTAAATTACCCTTTTTCTTTTCCTTCCTAATTCCTCAAACCAAACATAGCGTAATGGTAGAGTCTAACAAAATAACCTAATGTTGTGTACTCTGCATACTTTGGTTAGGAATGCACAACTGTCTGTGGAAGTTGAAGAATTGTTTTGTTTTTCCTTACTGACAACTTCCTTCAATATTCTGTTATAAAGATTCACAACAATGATAACAGGGATGCACAACCTTTTAATAGGAAAGGGAAGCCAAGAGTATTAACCTCAAACTTGAGCCCCCCCCCCCACCACATAAAATGACCATTATACCCTTACACTCGCCGTTGAACTATCCTTTTCGATCCCCTGTCCCTTCCAACCAGTCTTCCAGTCTAGCTGTTAAGCTCATCTCCTCATAACATCCATTCAAAAAGGGATGAATCAGACTTGACACAGGCAGGTCATCATCCCTGTCTGCTTCTTCTTCTTCATCAGCAGCAGCAGCAGCAAATGAAGATGAAGAAGGCTCCTCAATCTCAGGAGAAGCCCGCTTGATACTGTTTGCTTTTTTGCTAGCTGATCTAAACAGATGAAAACTCAAACTTTGGGTGTTAATCGCCCCTTCCCTCTCCTCCTCCATTTGTCTTGTAGAGGACATGACAGCAAGGGTGTGTCTGATATCCTGTATCATCTCTTTGGAAATTCGAAAGCCACAGTTTTTCATTGATCTAGCCATGGCTATGGAGTCCTCAGAATCCTCAGTGCGAAGAGTTGCCTCGCGGCATCTATCTGCAACCTTTGTTTTGAGATGGACGAGGTTGGGGATTGCATTATGAACATGTTGTTGGATGTAGAAAAGCCCCGCCGAAGGTTCATTTGCCACAAACTTTATCATTTCTGCTAAGCTCTCGGCTATCTCCACAAAACCGTCCGCTGCAGAAAATTCGTGCATCTTCTTGAAGTACAAAGGCTCATCATTGCTGTTGGTGTGCATATTTTGTTAATGACAGAAGAACGAAATCATAGAGAGGAAGATTCATTAGGATTAACATAGAAAAGACAAGAAAACACAGTAGTAGCTTAGCTAAATGTGGCTGAAATGGATGTCACCAGATGGTATTTTTATGCTGAAAAAAACTCATTATATCCACTTATCTCAGTTAAAGAAGCCCTACCAAACAGACACAAGGTCTAGCACTTGGTTTTGCTATTATTGCGAAGCTACGGCTGCTTAATTCGAGAAACAGCTTATCATTGTAACTAAATATGTTCTGTTCGCGACTTTATGGCTCTTCTTGAGGCTGTTACTAAACCATCATACACCAGTCTAATAAAAACTGCCTTGAGGAAATGGATTGCCACCTAATTTTGTCTCCTTTCCGAAGCATTTTTTTGTGATATCCTAAAATACCCTTTAAATGAGAAGCTAAATCTTTACAAACGGTGATGCATCTGTCCTTTTTACACGGGCAGATGCATCTTTCCATCCACAAGTTTTTTTTTAAAAAACCTCGGGTTGAATTTAAAAGATGATTTGTTTGATTCAGATTGCAATGACAGTAATTTTTTACTGATACTACAAAAACTTCTAGCAGTATACACATAACCTTGAAGTGGAAAAGTGAGCAGATTTTTTCTATTCAAGACAAACATCACTACAACATTTACGGTGACCGGTAAATAGAAAGCCATCAAAGAGTATATTTCTTACTTGAACATAGATCATATGCACAGTGAGAAACTTGTATGTATGTAGTCGATACGAATCGATAAACCTCAACCTGCACATGTTTTTAAGTGAGTGACAATTTCATAGGAAACCCCAATTGCACCAATCAAGAAAATCAAGAACAATGGATCAATCAATCCTCACTCAACATAAGCTCTCAAACCCCCCCACCCCCAAAAAACCCCAAACCCTAATGGATCAAAACCTGCATTTATGCCATCAAGTAAGAGCAAAGATGAATGCCCCCAAGATTGCATTTTTTCCCATCTCTGTAACTTTAAGATGAAAAGAGAAATTGTTTCCAAACTGTGATTACTTTAAGGTAGGGGTGGGTAGAAGCCGTAGAACAGAACACATTGAAAATCAAGCTTGGGTTAGTCAACGAACATGATAACAGATAACCACGTTGTATAAATATGTCAAAGATAAACAAAAATAGAGACCAATTTTTAATCCAAGACTAATGTTGTAAAAACTAGGAGAAGTATTTTGGCCCAACATGATCATCCTCTTTCCGTTTTTGTGAGTTTGAAAAAATGTTACTCCCTATTAAACTATTATGGCCCGTTTGATATAGCGTTAGAGATTAGCGTTAGCTTTTTGGATAAAATTTTAACTGTGCAGATTATTTGAAAACGCTAACGCTAAACGCTGCCTGTAAATAGCCTTTTCAAAACGCAAACGCTAATCGCTAACGCTATTCCTAAACATGCTCTATATTTTGTCAAAAATATCATCATTTTTTTTGTTACTAAACTATTATTTTTTATTACGTGTCAAAAATGTCATTGTCTTAACCTGTAACCTGTTAGTGCATATTTAAACAAAAAGAAATATGCAACTGAACTATTTTTTTAGTAAAACTGTCACTCTTTGTTTTTTATTTTAAAAATTTCACCAATCAATTTTTTAAAATTCTTTTATTGGCTATATTTTCTCTCCCAACATAGTTGTTTCTTTTAAATTTTATTCAGAATTCAATTTTTTAATCAAATTTGTTATGCATGATATTTTTGTGAAGGTGGAGCCGGGAGTCTCTTGGAAACAGTCTCCCTACTTCCGAGTAGGGGCAAGGTCTGCGTACACACACCCTCCCCAGACCCTACTGTTGTGGGATTCACCTGGGTTGTTGTTGTTGTATTTGTTATGCATGATATTGTTTTCATTTGATATTTCTTTTTATAATTAAATAATGAATTGACTAATAAATTATAAAAACTAGAGTGCTAATATTCCCAATATTCCAAAATATTTTTCATGTTTTACATTTTTGAATCAAAGTAGATGATTTTTAATACGGAGTAGTTAAGTACATAAAAATTGCTAAATTTTCAGAGATTTTGTGAACAAATATACAATTTAGCTTTTATTTATATAATAATCAAAGTTTGTACGTTGCACAAGTTAAATGCTAGTAATGACATTTTTAGTGAATGGAAAGAATAAAAAAGAATAAATTTGTTGAAAAGGTAAAGAAAACTCTTAAAGAAAAAAAAACTCGAGACAAAATAAAAACTTAAAAAGAAAATTTTTAACTAATTGATAAAGACATAAGAGTAATAATTTTATATATACTCTCTCTATCTTAATATATTCATTCAGTTTGAATTTTTCTAATTAAATTAAACAAACTTTAATAATCAATAACTATTGATAAATCTGAGAAAATTATTTTTATAATAATATTTTAATTGAGGTCTAAAGTTCACCCAGTTTGACTAAAGAAAGTCAAAGTCTACGAAGGTAATATATTAAATGGAATCTTCTCTCATATTTAGAAATAAAAAAATTTAATACTTTTGAAACATAAAGTTTAGTTCCATCTATTAATTTTTTTTGTTTTAACCTGCACTAGCAGGTTAATTAAAAGGAAAGACAGTAGCACTTTTTACATGTAATAAAAAGTTTAGTGGCAATATAGTAACAAAATAAAATATAATGGTATTTTTGACAAAATATAATAATTCGGTGGCATTTTTGTAACTACTATACACTCTTCTTGTAAAATAACATAAGACTTCTTTCAAATCCTTAGAAACAGTTTTAACGTTAAGACCACTTGAACTATTACACATTAATTTATTTTGGCCCGTAGACGTATAAAGCCTAGGTGGAACTAGTTTCACTTTTCGTAATTGTAGGTGTTTTATTTCATTATACTTGAGCTATATAACTTGCTAATAAATATGATGTGTCTAATGCGTTTGTTAAATTGTGCAAGAAAATTCAAAACGAGAAAAGATAACCAATTACTTCAATCAAAATTGATAAAAGGGTAATTTACCTAAATATGACTAAAACATATTAACTTTCTCAATATAGGACCATATGTTTTTATTTCCTAATATAGGACCATTGGTCATTATGTATTAATCATTATTCAACTAAATGTCCAGCATCACTTGGACATTATTCTTCTCACTAGTCATTATTAAGTCTTATTGAAGGAATAAAAAAGTTTAAGTCCTACATTGGGAAATGACTTATGTTTTAGTCCTATTCAGTGCAAATTTCACTTGATAAAAGTGGCAAATATAGAAATTCCGAATTTGAACTATATTGTGATGAGCGTGGAATTTCACACAACTTCTCGGCTCCAAGAACACCTCATCAAAATGGAGTTGTTGAAAGAAAGAATAGAGAGGGGTTGGGTTACCAGCATCGGTAACAACTAAGTGATACAGTGTGGAGTATGAATATATGAATGAATTAGATCATTGATAGTGAGGAGTTGGATTACGAGTATCAGTAACAATTAAATTATACAGTCTGAAGTACAAACATCCAGATGAGTTGGATCATTGATAAAGAGGAGGCATTACAAGATCTGTCAAAACTGCATCAGAAATTTGCTACGGAGCAATGGTTGTCGCAGATTTGCGACGGAACTGCAATGGAGTTTGGAATATCTAAAAATTAATTAAAATTTTGTGACGGAGTCGGTGACTACGAGCGGTTTGCAGATTTGTTGTGTTATTTTAGGCTCGATTATTGCTCTTCGCAATGAGGCTATAAAGAATGGGTTTGATGTCACCGATGACCAAATCTGGTACTCACTAGTTTAGGGCCACAATACGAAGAATCGCGTGCCAGGAGTCAGAGACTACGAGCGTAAAATGAAAAAGTTGAAGCCATCATCCACTCATCGCCGCTCTAGCTCCTCTAGCATTAAAAAAGTGAAATGGAGATCCTGAAAGAATAGAACAAATGCCTCCAAGAACAGGTTGAAGCCCTAGCCTCTAAGTTCACAATGGTCCAAGAAGATCTAAAAAATGTTGTATGGTAATAACAACCCTAATCGAGATGATGACGGAGTGGGGGGATTAGGGCAATAGAGGCTATTTGTTAGAGTGTTTGAATTAAGAATATTTGACTTTAATGGCTTTTATGCATGCATTACATTAACTTAAATAATTGTAATTGTTTTTCTTTACGATGTGGAATCTGTTTGAAGCTTAAATTTAAAACTTGTTTTTGGTTTTATTGAGGATGTGTTTTTGGTTATTGCACCCCTTGTCTTTTGTTTTTGGTTATTGCACCCCCTATTCTGGTTTTTGAAAAGCTGCAGATCAGCCAAAAACCTAGGTTCTAATTTTGTATATCACCTCTGCAATGGATTTACGACAGATTTACAAGTCCCTCGCAGACAAAAAATATTGTAGCTTGAAGTATCCTGTCACAAATCTGCGACGGAAGTGGTGAGCTGTCGCAAATAAATTCAGATTTCTTAGCCTCCAATTCTGTCGCAGATCTACGACGGATATGTTTTTTTGTCGTAGATTATGGCCTGGCGACAGTGAATTTGTGACAACATTTTACTATCGCAGTTCCATCGCAAATATAGAATCTGCTACGGTTTCCTCAAATCTGCGATGGAAATTAGCTGTCGCAGATTTGGCAGATTCTTGGAGTGAGTTGGATTACTAGTACCGGTAACAATTAAGTTATACGGTCCGGAGTACAAATATCTGGATGAATTGGATCATTGATAGTGAGGAGTTGGGTTACCAGTACCGATAACAATTAAATTGTACAATTAGAGTACGAGTATATGGATGAATTATATCATTGATAGTGAGGACTTGGGTTACTAGTACCTGTTACAATTAAATTATACAATTCGGAGTACGAATATGTAGATGAATTGGATCATTGATAGTGAATAGTTGGGTACCAGTAGTGGTAGCAATTAAGTTATACGGTCTGGAGTACGAGTATGTGGATGAATTGGATCAATTATAGTGAGGAGTTGAGTTACTAGTACCGGTAAAAATTAATTTATACCGTCCGGAGTACGAGTATCTAGATGAATTGGGTTATTGATAGTGAGGAGTTGGGTTACCCATACTGGTAATAATAAAGTTATACGATCCGGAGTACGAGTATCTAGATGAATTGGATCATTTATAATGAGGAGTTGGGTCACCAATGTCGATAACAATTAAGGCATACGATTCAGAGTATGAGTATTCAGATGAATTAGGTCATTGATAGTGAATAGTTGGGTTACCAGGATCGGTAACAATTAGGTTATATGGTTTAGAGTACGAGAATCTGGATGACTTGGGTCATTCATAATGAGGATTTGGGTTACCATTAGTGGTAACAATTAAGTTACATGGTCCGGAGTACAAATATCTAAATGAATTAGATCATTGATAGCGATGAGTTGGATTGCCAATACCGGTAACAATTAAGTTATACAGTCTGGAGTATGATTATCCGGATGGGTCATTGATAGTGAGGCATTGGGTTATCAATACCGGTAACAATTAAGTTATATGATCTGGAGAAAGAATATCCGGATGAATTGTATCATTGACAGTGAGAAGTTAGATTACCTATACCAATATTAATTAAGTTATACGCTCTAGAGTATGAGTATCCGGATGAATAGGATCATCATAAATAGTATGGTCAAACTCAGAAATAACAAAAATAAAATTAATATTATAAACACATGGAGAAAAAAAGGTCGGATAAGGTCAAAACAGATAGGGTATGGCTAGTAACAAGTTAGGTCACTTTTTGTGAGGTCTAATCAGAAGTACCATCAAAATTTTAAATATCCAAAGGAATTTGATAAGTAGCACGATTCCATACAGATTGAAGATATATAAAATTAGAAACTGAAAGAATATAAGGATATTTTAATCAAGAACTATGGCAACTGAAATATTATCCGTTGGTGGGTCCCTTTAATAAAGTTTTGGTTTTATTTTTAATGAAAATTTTTGAAGGGTCGTGTGTTTTAGAGCATCTCCAAAGGGGCTTGTTATTTGTGGCTTGCTATTGCTTTTTTTTAGCAAATGAATAGTGGTATAACAAGCCACTTTTTACTTTCTTTTCCAACCATGACTTGTTATATTAAACTCTTTTCATCCCAAAATGTTTTACTCATTTTGATCAACATGCAAAACCTCATGACTTTTAAAATGATTTTATTTACAAATTTGTAAAAATACAAAATAAAACATTATATTTAAAATTTACATCAAAAACTCTACAAAACAAGAGCTGATAAAAATATTTTATTTTATCAACTGATCAATGAAAACATGCAAACAAATAAAAGTTATCGAGATGTCATAATAGTAAATGGGTAATTTTTTTGGGACGGAGGGTGTAACTAACAAATATATTTTGTTCCAATAACCATTATAATACATAAAATATAAAAGTTTTTGAATTATATTTATCCATGTAAATGTAAAACAAAAGTACTCCCTCCGTCTGGAAAAGAACTTCTCATTGTCCTACGTTTTTCTTTGTCCGGAAAAGAACTTCCCATTATATGTTTTCATGGCCAATCTTCCTAAAATACCCCTTCCTAAAATAACAGTATGTAATTAAAGAATATAAAATAAAATGTTTCTAATTAAAATAAAATAAATCAAACAACTCTCTTATGGTAAAAAAATCACATTCACATCGGAAAAAAAATGTTATACGGAGTATTTGTGCAGTATATATCATTGCAAAAGAAATTCACATTAATTTTTGTTTAGCTATATTCTAGCATGCTTGTTATAAATAGCAAGTTGTTTTCATTTTTTAAAAAGCTAGTCAAATTTTGAATAACTCATTGGAGCATGAAATTTTGTATATACTTGTCAAATTATAACATATAGCAAGTCATTTTGCTATGGTTGGAGATGCTCTAAGAGCAACTCCAAAGGGTAGTGAAAAAAATGATAGTGTAAACCTTCCATTTTGGGTGAATTCATTGTTTGTGTAATATGCGTGCACCTGATTCCTTTATATGCATTTTGAATATAAGTTGTCCCTAATAATACCAACCGGAGTTGGCTACTCCGTTTTGGAGTTAGGTAAACGGATTTGGCTAATCCCTCTCACCCATTTAATTACTAAACTGATTAGCCTAATCCGTTTTACTATTTATTTATTTATTTATTTTTTAATTTTCTTAATGCACGGAAATTATTTGTTGCTTGTTCCAATTTATTTTTTTCCTTTAAATTTTTTTTAACAAATTAACTCCACTTTTATAAACTTTTTTTAAACTTTTCTAACTTTACTATATAAAAATATTGTATTATAAAAAAATTTCAAATTTTTAGTTTTTGAATGAAATCAATTAACTTTTGTTACTTATAAATTATTACGAAATAAAGGAAAATACAGGAAACATACACAAAGAAGATGTAAAAAATATACTATAATTTTTTTTTAAAAAAAATACGATTTATTGACTTTAATTGATACTTAAATAACGAGATTAAAAGAAGAAGACAAAATACAATAAATTTATTGCTAGAGTACATATAACAATTTATTCAAAAAAAGAAGAAGCCTAAACACAATCCATGACTAACTTATTTGTAAAATTTAATAATACATAAACTCATACATAATTGAAATTCATGACATAGCTATTCCTCGTTGCGATGTCTCCGTGGTTGATAATCCATGTTGTTCAGATAGGGGTTCTCGTACGTCGGCTGGTTTGTGTGGTCTGTCGTGGCGTTGGCCTCAGTATCTCGTACTCCGGAGTAGACCATTCAGACTCATCTAGTAGCGGCATTATGATGCCAGAGTAAGCGTTGATGTAGGACTGAATTGAAAAAACATTTGGAATCAAATGATCCACGGTGACACTACAGTAATGACATACTGCGTGGACATGACTGCACGGGAGGTGAAATGTTACCCATTGACCACAGCTACATGTTCGTGGTAAATGTCTCCCGCTGAGCAATGTAGGACGACCCATCCACCACCATAGAGTTTATCCCTTCTTGTGTGTGGTGCTGCACAACACGACAATAGAGCCTATATTTCTTCATTTTTCCTAATACGTTTTCACACGTTCATAGGAAAATTGCACCCGGATTGCTGCCATACATATCCATTTGTTCGCCTCTCAGCGAAAAGTTTGACCAACTTATCATAGGTGAACTTCACAATGGCATATACGGGCAAACAACGAGATCCCTCAAGGACATTATTGAAACTTTCTGACGAATTTGTAGTCATTATACCATAACGTGCTCCACCTTCATCATGTGACAAAGCCCACTTGTGTTTCGGAATGGCATTAAGCCAGTTGTAAGCTTCTTGATTTTTGGATGCTATTCGGAGGATCAACAGGTCAAACTCACTTCTGTTCAGAGCCTCATCAGCTCTATACATCAAGGTCCACAACTTCTTACTTTGGAATTTCTTCCAGAAATTGCTTCGTAGGTGGCGGAGACAATATGTTCGAGTCACTTGACCTCCACCCAACTCTGGAACATTTTCAAATGCATGGTCAATCCCACCGTGTCTATCAGATATTATGCATACACGGCGATGTGGGGGTACGACATGACGCATGACATTCGTCATGAACCATTTCCAACTTGCACCATCTTCAGCATCCACAATGGAAAAAGCTAGGGGGAAAATTTCACCATTTCCCGTCGTTGCTATGGCAAGTAATAAACATCCCTTATACTTGTCGTATAAGTGAGTTCTATCTACTGGAATAACTGGAAGACAATAGTGAAATCCATCCATGGATGCCTTGAAGGACCAGAATACATACCTGAACTGAAAACAAGTTGGTGAATCGGTTGACAGTGTTTGCAAATCAACAACAGTTCCATGGTTTGACCCCATAATTGCACTGAGCAAGGGAGCCAACTTGTTATACGACCCTCCCAAGTATCATACAATCGTTGGATGGCTAATAATCATGCACACCATGCCTTCTTGTAAGACACGGAGACCTGGAACAACTCATAAACATCCCTGATAATGAGTTTGATTTTATAGTTAGCATCTTCTTGAATTTTTGGATCTATCAGGGTACTTATGAGTTCACTTGTTAACAATTTGTCATCCTTGGCTCGTGTGTGATCTGGTCTACACTGGTGGTACCACTGGTATTTCTTTATGGTCCACATAGTTGTCCCTGCATTCTCTGCGGCTTGGATGAACCAAGTGCATTGGGGGGTGCATACACAACTAGCTCTCCAATAACGACTCCATTTCGCAACTGTGCGAAAGTGTCTATGCTCTGCAATGTTGCGTAAGGACACGGCTTCTTGTAAACTTTGAAAAGAAGGATACGTATTACCAACCTCAATAATTTGTACGTGGAACGTCGGTTGCAAAGATCTATGCGTTTCGCGTCGCTGGATGTCTTCTAAATGTGGCATTGCACGAGCGTTGTCGCCATCGTCTCCTTCATCTGAAGATATATCCTCGTCCTCTTCTGATGATTCTTCATCTTCCGTTAATGGTGAAACGTACTCAGCATCATCTGGATCGCTATCAACGTGTTGAGCGTAATGAGATGAAGAGGGGTGACCCATTGGTTGCTGAAAGAATGGATTAACATCCTCTTCCTCATCAACTTCCTCCTCAACATTTTTAGACACCATGATGAATACTTTAATTGCATCGTATTCACGTGATGCTTTTCGTATAAAATGCCGCCATGTTGGTTTGTCGTTGATTAGGAGAGGTCGTGAACCAACATAAACCCCTGATTGATGTCTGGGGAATTTATTGTAGATAGATTCCACGCCTTGGAATTCGTCTTGAATGACATCACTACTTATTTGACCAAGAAAAGTGTCGTAAGATATATTAGAATGGAACAACAAAGACTTCTTCGGAAGCTTGGAGTATTGAACTTCACTATTTACAACTTGTATCTCACCACTCCAATGAGCTACAAGAAGTATACTATCTCTTCTGACATTGTTTATTTTGGTGTGTAGAATAATGGTGATGGTGTATTCGAAATGGAGATGTTGGGTGGTATTTATAAGGGGAGTATGAATATGTAGTTAGGTGGGAGTGTGAAGGGGTGGTTAGTTGGGAGGGGAAATAAATAGTTAGGTGAAAGTGGGAAAGGGTGGTTAGTTGGGGGGTGGTTAGTTGGGAGGGGGAATAAATGGTTAGGTGGGAGTGGGAAAGGGTGTTTAGTTGGGAGGGGGAATAAATGGTTAGTTGGGAGTGAAGAATAAATGGGTAGGTGCGAGTATGAAATGCCATAAAACAAAAGGAGAATACAAAATATAATGGCTACCGGTAAATTGTTTACATATATTACCGAAATAAACAATTAAAGTTTACGTACATAACCGAAATAAAATATACTAAACAAAAGGAAAATACTAAACATAATGACTACCGGTACCACATCGGGTCCCGCGTCGAGTGCGTCGTGGTCGTAGATCCTAATCCCGTTCCTCCTCCACTTCAACGTTACCAAACGTCAAAGGGATAACCGATGGTGTCGTGCTAGAGAGATATTGCCCAAACTCATCCGTGAGTTGACTTTCTTGAGTAAACATATAATCCCCATCATACCTAACTGGTGACGTATGGTACATGCGCTGTGGAGGAGCTGGAACCTCGAATCGTGGAGTATATGAAGTGGATGGCTCACCAGTGCAAGCGGGTGTGTGGGTATCGCTCTCAACATAGTCATCTTCAGTGGCATCCTCGTCCTAGGACATACGGGGGGATTGGACGGGGGTATGAACATCTTCTCCGTCGACTTGCAACCTGCCTAACCCCTACAAGAGGTGCATCACGCCTTCTATCTGCCCTTCTCCGAATATGTCCTGGATTGTATACTGGTTGCTCCTGTGGATGATCGAGGATAGATGCATGTCCAAAAGCACGTATACACTCACATAACAAGTCATGAACTCGCACTACCTCGTGAGAAGGTACAAAACCATCCGGGTGCCTACCTGGATCAAGGCGCTGATGGTCTGCCATACAAGATAGCTACACAAAATACCATGATTAGTCTCATACAAATTTATAACAAAAAAAAGATACAAATTTATACATACTGTGGTCTGTAGCTCAAGAGAAATGGGGACGTACCCTGTTCTGTGCTGATGTGCGGGGTTTCCTATCTATCTTCGACCATGGAGGTAATACCAATGACGATACTCATGTGTGGCATCCGGCATCCCAAATTCCATCAGTACATTTGCAGCATAACGTCCCTCCCATACATCTAAATAATGTCTCTCATTGTCAGCGAGCTCCATAGTGTTCGACTTAATGTTATGTAGGTGTGGATCATACACAACATCGAGAGGAACACGTTGGAGGGCACCAAACTGTCTGTAAAACTGATCCGGATAGTACATCTCCACGACATAGCCATAGATCAAAGGGATGCGTGATATCCATATTCGGAGTCCGGCAGAACAAAAGCGTGGTAGGGTATCGAGATTCGGATACGACATCCAAACAAACTGCATACATAAAGAAGGAATACAACAGACATTTAAAATAAAATATGTATGCATAACATTGTGATGTGTTTAGTACTTACCTCTCCCTCGAGCAACCTATCTAGCTGGTCCCTGTATGCTCGTAAGGAGTGTGTCGTACAATCTGACCACCAATGATAACATACCCATCTACGAGTGGAGGATTAAACATTAACATGAATAAAATAAACTGAGTGAATGCATGATAGACATAAAAAAATTGTAAATACCTAACTCTATATGGAACATTAACCAGCTACTCCAATGGCACAACGCCCCTAGGTCTAGTCATAGGCAGACGTTCTCATGCCCAAAGCTGTAATAGGATAAGACAGCCTCCAATATGTGATACATGTGTCATGCTAGCACGACACATACTACGATACAAGAAACTAAGAACCGCAGCACCAATGGCACGACCCCGCACCAGCACAGAGTCTTCCATGATTAGCTCCAACAGATACAAACTAACCTTATTTCCCGTCATGTTGGGAAATAAGCTGCCACCCAACAACTTAAACATAATAGCTCTAACATGCTGTTGGTAATCAACATCTACACTATGTTATGTCAACGCCATCGGAACAATTGCAGTTATCTTAATCATAGAAGACGTAATATCACATGGTTCAGGTCTAAAACCCATCATGCCATGAGAAATCTGAATCCACTGATCTCTTGATCGACTAGTGACCCCCGACAATGGAATGCCATCTACGGGCAATCCAAGTAAAACCTCAACGTCTTGCAGCGTAATTCTCACCTCTCTAAAGGGAAGATGGAATGAATTGGTCTCGGGTCTCCATCTCTCCACTAAAGAAGTAATCAGAGCCAAGTCTAACTGTAATCCACCTACTTTCTCCACCCCATAAAATCCATAATCTTGTAAAATCTCTATAACACGAGGTGGTCTATTAGCAACAGGAGTCCTCGGAGATATACTAGAACAAGTCCTATGACACTTTATACTCTTTTTGGCATATTCTTCGTCCGCCCATACCGAATCACACCTATGTACTCCACCTTCAAGAACTAAAACGTCTCGTGAAATAGGTCCTGGATGAACATCCATTTGCTTCAAAGATTAAAAATTTTAACAATTTATTCATTTAATAAGAACTCATTTGTTTCAAACATTACAACATAACAATTTATGCATTTAATAAAAGCACACAACTAGACAATTAAAAAAAACACATGAAGTAACTAATTATGTTAAAAATTATCTTACAATCTCAAAATTTAAAATTACCAAATTTTTATGAATATTTTAAGAATCAAATTCAAAATCTTACAAACTAATAATATATATCAATAACAATAAAAAAAATTCACCCAACTTGGTATAAATCCAATATAATTTATGTAATTTTAAAAAACAAACTATATATATATATATATATATATATATATATATATATATATATAGTGGTTCCCCCTGTAGAGATGGTCACAGGGTTGATTGGCGAACCACACCACCCGGATTCGATCCCCAGAAGATGCAAATTTGGAGGAATTTTAAAGAGTTAAGCGTGCTGGCATGGGAGTAGCAGAAATGATGGGTGACCCCCTGGGAAGTAGATTTGGGCTTATGGGGCTGGGCTTACTTTGGGCTTTCTATAGTGGGCTATCTATCTCGGGTGTTAACGGGCCCCGGGGTAGTCACGAGGTTAACGAGCCTCGGGCCCCCTGCTTGTAACCGACCGTTAATTATATTTAAAAAAAATTTAAAAAAAAACAATATATATATATATATATAATATCTAAATATTATCATAAAATGATAAATATGTATATAAATTTACTAAAAAATAAAAAATACCTCCATGAAACGGAGTAGGCTAGTCCGAATTGTCCTTCCAGCGGTGGCGGTTCCCCTCTCTGGTTGGATTTCTCTTCGGCGGATGGAGGCGCTGGAATGGTTCGGATTTCTCTTCGGCTGGAATGGGGATGGAGGCGCAGGAATGGGTGGATGGAAGGGGTTGGTTATCCGGATAGAGAGACGGAGTAGTTTACTCCGTATGGCATTTAATTTCTGAAAACAGATTTGGCTACTCCGTATGGCTTTTAATTTGTGAAAATGGAGTTGGCTACTCCGTATGAGAAATAAAAACTTTAAGAGGGAGTTGGCTACTCCGTTTTATTTAAAATTTTTGAGTAGAAACGGAGTAGCCAAATCCGTATTGCACTGTCAGGATTGGAAAAAAATGTCTGACTTACACTGCCAGGAATGAAATTTTGTTTTTACATATGTTGGTCGTTTGCTCTCCATTTTTTAGACTTTACTCATTTTTGCACTAGCCCTTGGAGTAGGGGCAATAATGTTTACCTCTAGTTTTCCATTTAATTTTTATTTTTTTCCTTTCACTTAATTTGTTTCTTTTATCTATGAAGGTTTTTTAAATTTCGTTTTAAAGGTATTTTTATAAATTTCTTAAAATTAGAAAAATTTGGACTAATTTTTGTCAATATAAACCATTACACTAACATCATACTAGCACAAAATGTCCGTGTATACCTTTGATATGATATACAAAATGGGATTCAAGTTTTGGTGTAGGTATACAAAAAATTGTTGCTGGGTACCCCTAATTTTGTACTAAGAACTCGCAGGTCCCATTGTTTTTCAAAATATACTCCAAGGTACCTTAAGATATTCGAAAACTAACTCCGGGGTGACAATCCGTCATTCTCTCCGTTAATATTCTTTCTCCGTTATCCTCCTCTTCTTCTTGTTCTTCTTTTCTTCGTTTCTTCGTTTCTTCTTCTTCTTCTTCTTCTTTTCTTCGTTTCTTCTTCTTCTTCTTTTCTTCGTTTCTTCTTCTTCTTCTTCTTTTCTTCTTTTCTTCTTTTCTTCTTCTTCTTCTTCTTCTTTGTAGAAATTAATAAGAGAGAATATAGTTTGTATATTGAATTGGCTTGTGATTACAAAGGTTTAACCCTCTTTATATAGGAAGAGAGTAAAGCATATAAGTAAACTTCTATTCCTACCATATTTATATCCCTACTAAAACAAGAAATAAACAAACTAGAAAAGAAATTAAATCGAATCCCAAAGAGATTTAGTTTCCTTCTTCGATCCGGCTTCCTTCTTTTGTCGCCAACATTCTTCTTCTTCTTCTTTCCTTCTTTTCTTCTTTTCTTCTTCTTCTTCTTTTCTTCTTTTCTTCTTCTTTCTCCTGCCTTCCAGTGACCTCCATTCCTCCCCCCACCCCCGTTTTTCTTCTTCTTTTACCTTTTGTTTTGTTTTTTTCTTCTTCTTCTATTATAATTATTATTATTTGTTATTAATTATTATAATTACTTCATAATTATTATTTTCTTATTCTATTATTATTATTAATTTTTTAATTTATTATTATTATTATTATTATTATTATTATTATTATTATTATTATTATTATTAAAAATTAATTGTTAGTTTTACCACTCTTTTCTATAAAAACACTAATTGTTATTTAGAAAAATAGCACTTATTATAAAATAACACTTATTATTAATACTATTATTTATTTTAAGCAATTAATTAGTAATTTTACTTCTGTACTTTTTTATAAAAATACCACTAGTTATTATTATTACTTCATATTAATTACTCCTCTGTTCTAGAGTATTTGTCTACTTTTGTTTTTTCGGTCAAAATTGATAAAATTTAACCCTAAATTAAAAAATAATATTAAATATTTATACAAAAATAGTTTTATTAGATTTAATATATAAAATACTTTCAAAATATTACTTTGTCGAATTAATATACAATATATGTTTTATTTAATTATAGGTCAAAAATTAAAAACAGTTGATTGAAAAAAGTCAAAACCTGACATATGCTCCGAGAGAGAGATAATTTTATGTATTTCCTATTGTTTTCTTAATTATTATTAAAAATTAATTGCAGAGTAGTAATTTTATTACTCTATTTTTAAGAAATACGGAGTAACAATCATTATTATTTAGAAAAATAGTACTCCGCATTAGTCATTGATAGTCGCCATTGGTAGTGGTGTCACGGTAAATCGAGAAAACAAGAGGACTTGAGAAAAGAATAAGATGAATAAGTACCTCTGGATTTTTGTAAAGATAATATGAAACAATAAAAATAGTGTTAAATTTAATATTATTATGAATTACGACGTATAATTTATAACCAAGTGAATAAATAATTTTAATTTTATAAATGATACGTAAATATATTACTAAAATTAATTTTCAATTAAAGCTTTAGAGTAGTAAAACTAAAAAAAAAAGTTAGAGTAGTAAAAATACTAATTAAATGAAATAGTTATTATAATAATAAAAAATAATAAAATAACAATACCTAATAAAATATGAAGTAATAATAATAACTAGCGGTATTTTTATAAAACAGTACAAAAGTAAAATTACTAATCAATTGCTTAAAATAAATAATAGTATTAATAATAAGTGTTATTTTATAATAAGTGCTATTTTTCTAAATAACAATTAGTGTTTTTATAGAAAAGAGTGGTAAAACTAACAATTAATTTTTAATAATAATAGTAATAATAATAAATTAAAAAATTAATAATAATAATAATAATAGAATAAGAAAATAATGATTATAAAGTAATTATAATAATTAATAACAAATAATAATAATTATAATAGAAGAAGAAGAAGAAAAACAAAACAAAAGGTAACAGCATTAGCAAGTGCACGATATTCAGCTTCTGTGGATGAGCGCGATACACTTTTCTGGCGAATAGATTTCCACGAGATGATATTTGGACCCAGATAGAGAACATATGTTGTCGTGGAACAGCCATGATCAGAGAGGCCACCCCAATCAGCATCGGAGAAGGCAGTTAATTGCATAGGAACATTTTTGGACAGAAATAAGCCATGAAAAATAGTACCCTTGAGATAGCGCAAAAGGCGTCGTAGGGCCGACCAATGAACTTGAGTAGGAGCATGCATAACTTGAGACAACTTGTTCACGGCAAATGCAACATCTGGACGTGTGAGAGAAAGATATTGCATCCTTCCTATGACACGCCGGTAGGCCGTTGCATCCACCACTGTGGAGGACGAAGGAGTGAGACGTAAGTCCTCCGCTACCATCGGAGTGGCAACATCCTTAGCACCAGTCATAGAGGTATCCTCAAGAATATCCAAAATGTATTGAGACTGAGAAAGAAACAGGCCTGCTGGAGTTGGGATGACCTCAACTCCCAAAAAATGACTCAACTGTCCCAAATCCTTGAGAGAGAATTCAGCAGATAAGGCATGAACAAAGCCATCAAGAAAAATTTTGTCATTGCCTGTGAGAATAATGTCATCCACATAAACCAGAAAATACGCAATTGCACCGCCAGAATAATAAACAAAGAGGGACGAGTCAGAATGAGTCTTCTGGAAGCCTGATTTGATTAAAAACCGAGACAACGCCTCATACCAAGCCCGCGGTGCTTGTTTGAGACCATATAATGCCTTTGTTAACCGGCACACATGAGTGGGTTGGTCTGGACTAACGAATCCCGGAGGTTGTTCCATGAAGACCTCTTCCGCAAGTTTACCATTTAAGAAAGCATTGTTGATGTCCAACTGTCGAAGGGGCCAATTATTTGAGAGAGCAATACTGAGAACAACACGAATAGTAACCGGCTTCATAACAGGGCTAAAAGTTTCAAAATAATCACGCCCTGCTTCTTGGAGATATCCCTTAGCTACAAGACGCGCTTTGTACCGATCAATTGAGCCGTCCGCCTTCCGTTTGACCCGGAATATCCACTTACATCCAATGGGACGAGTGGCAGGACGAGGCACTAATTCCCATGTCTGATTTTTAAGCAAGGCGTGATACTCCTCATCCATTGCTTTCCTCCAACGAGTGTCTTTGAGAGCTTGAGCAATGGTCTTAGGTTCATGAGAAAGAGGAAGGGGATGCTTGGTGGTGACATTGAGACTCGAAGAGGAGACAAAATCAGGATTAAAGTAGCGAGAGTTAGGACGACGTGGGCGGGTGGAGCGGATAGGGATAATTGTGGCAGTAGGTGAGGGTTGTTCAGGACTGGCCGCAGCCTGGGCCAGTTGGGTTGGATCTGGAGACGAGGAAGTTACTAGAACGGAGGTCATGGTTGTTTGGGGAGGGGTAGTGACAGGGGGTGGAGTGGAAGAGGTAGAAGGAGATGGCGTGGCAAATTGTGGAGGAAAGAGTGGATATGGCATTGGGGTTGAGGAGTGAGGGGGAGATGACACAGAATTTGAGAGAGGAAATATATGTGAAATAAATTGCACATGGCGAGAGAGGAATAAACGATTAGATGACAATTCGAGGCATTTGTATGCAGACTGTGTAGTAGAATAACCAAGAAACACACACGGAGCTGATCGAGGTTGTAACTTATGAGACATGTATGGACGAAGCCAAGGAAAACACAAACAGCCAAAAGGCTTTAATTTTTGGTAGTTTGGTTCGGCCCCAAAAAGAGCACGATATGGACATCGAGATCCTAAAAGAGGCGTAGGCATGCAATTGATTAGATACACCGCGGTTTGGAAAACATGTGACCAGTAAGAGAGTGGCATATTAGCATGATGAAGAAGTGAAAGACCAGTTTCTACAATGTGACGGTGACGCCTCTCAGCAGAGCCATTATGCTCCGGAGTGTGAGGAGGTGTGGTGAAGTGAGATATACCAAAGGAGGTAAGTAGAGGACGTAACTTAATGAATTCTCCCCCATTATCAGAAAATATTGTTATGATTTTACGCGAAAAAAATGTTTCCACAAGTTTTTTAAATTGAGGAAAAAATTTTGACACGTCAGATTTATGGGCAAGTGGATAGAGCCAGACATATTTGGTAAAATGATCAACAAACAACACATAATGCAGATAACCATCAATAGAACATTGTTTGCATGACCAAACATCAGAATAAAGTAATTCGAGCGGCGCTTTGCTGACAAGGGAATTGTCATGAAATGGAAGTTTATGACTTTTATTGATAGAACATGCCGTACAATGAAACCGTTGTACATCAGTAAATGGAAAAGTTGTATTGCAGCTACGTAACAAAGAAGAGAGAACTTTATTAGATGGGTGACCCAAACTATGATGAAGCTCAGACAGGGAACCACCACCATGGAAATGCACCTGAGGGGATGGTACCGCAGGCCGTGCATAGTACACGCCATCATGATTGGTGCCGCTGAGAAGTTTCGCCCCCGTTTTCAGATCCTTGACAGAAAAGGAAAAGGGGAAAAATTCAACAGAAACCTGATTAGATTGGCAGAGTTGGGAAACTGACACTAAGTTACGATTAAGAGACGGAACACATAAGACATTATTCAAAGACAATTTACGAGAGGAAGTTGGAATAGATGTGTGACCAGTGTGAGTAATTTGGAGACTATTACCATTGCCCAAGAGGATCTCATCAGGACCCCCGTAGTCTGAGAACGAATGAAGGGCTTGGGTCGTGGGCGTAGTATGATGACTGGCTCCACTGTCAAACAGCGCCACTGAGGGGCCGCACCCGTGTAGGATCCACTAGGCCGAGAGGTAGTCATTGTAGCGTTGATTGCATGCGTTTGTCCGATGCCATGTGTGCGGAGAAACCGAGCCAATTTGCGACAGTCCTTCACATCATGGCCCGGGATAGCACGGCACGAGTTTGACAGCCTCGCTGATGATCGATGATTGCCTGTGGAATAATTGCTCAGGACTGCCCACGACCACGCCTGTTATTGTTATTGGTGGACTGGCCGGAATGTGCATCACGTTGGCCCTGACTAGAACGCCCCGAACCACCATGTTGAAGAGTGAGGTTCGCCGTGGCCATCATCACAGTATCGGCGTCGTTTGATGATTGAAGTTTAGCTTCATGATTCTTCAAGATATCACCCAACTCGGTGAATGAAATGGCCGAGGGACGAAGGAGAGCCGCAGAGGAAATGGGATCATAGTCGGGCCCAACTTGGTTCAACACGTGAACAACAAGATCTTCTTCTGAAATCGGACTTTGAACAAGAGCAAGTTCATCGGCAATGGTGCGCATATCATGGAGATAATCAGTAATTGAGCGATTACCGCGTGGGTTTTTTCCCAATTTGGACTTGAGAAAGACAATCCGTCCCCGACTGGTACTAGCAAAGGACGAATGGAGATTCTGCCACGCGGCATGGGCTGTCTCAGCAGTGGAGATCAGCGGGTGTACGACATCAGCACAGCTGCCCAGAAGAGCCCCAACGATAGCTTGATCCTGTCGGAACCAAATTGAGTAACAAGGATTTGGCGCGTTGTTGACCAGTTGCGGTGGGGCAGCCATGGTGCCATCGAGGTAGCCAAGTAGATCGAGTCCAATGAGTGTGGACCGAACTTGGCGCTGCCAAATGAGAAAGTTGGTGGAGATCAATTTTATGGGAAAATGGGATTTGGCATGCAATTGCACAACCGGTGTATCTTTGGTAATTGAAGGCGTCTGTGCCATGGTGATTGCGGTCGACGTATGTCGAGAAGAAGAAAAAATAAAAGAGAGGCAAGGGAAGCCGTGAATGGATCGTAAAGGAGAAAGAAGCGCTTTACTGCTCTGATACCATATGAAGGAATGATTGAATTATATTATTGACAAAAGGTATTACACTTTATAGTAGTTACAATTAGGAGAAGTAATCATAAGCCATAAGGTTAGCCTAAAGATTAGGGAGTTACAATACATATATGGAAGGAGTGATATGGGGAATAATATGAGGAGTTACAAATCATGTAATGAATATAATAGATATTTAGTATCCTTAATTGAGATAATAAATAAATAAATAATAAAGATTATTTATTTATCTTTAACACAAAATAGGGGTACCCGCAGCAATTTTTTTGGTAGGTATACCTTTTATCCTTTGGAGTTTAGACTTACACAACTCTTATCTTCTTCTTATCTCTCTCACTTTGGACGGACACAAACTGACGTACCAATCCAACAATTCTTCTTCTTCTTCTTCATTCTTCATTTCTCTTTCTTCTTAGATTAAAACCTAACTGAAGATCGATCTTCTTGATCTTTGCTTTAATAACTATATTTGCAGACCGACGTACGGACGCCGCCGCCCAGAGTTCGTTTACTGAAGGCCCGCGGTTCGTTGGATCATCAACCCCAAACAGGTCCTACTGCCACAACTACGTAAGTACTGTTTAATAATTAAAGATCCATCTACTCCGTATATGAAGATGCTGAAATTAAAGTTTTCCCCGGCCCCTTCTTTTTTACCAGAGCTTCATATTATTAAATGTTCCCCAACATCTTGTTGTTATTGTTCTGTGTACAAATTGGTGATTATAGCAGAGGATTCCCAGGATTGAGCATAAATACACACTCCCTCCATTCTAAAAAACAATTCCTGTTTTGACTAAATGTAAAAATAATGAAATGTTAAATTGTAGTTGACTTTTATTTTCTCTAATGTGATGGGTAAAAGTGAGATATGATGGATATATTATTAAAGAAAAAAAGTATGATGTGATAGGAAGAGTATGAAAAAGTATGGTTTAAAGTAGTTTTTTAATAGAAAGTAGAAGTATTTTGTTGGAAGTTGAAAAAAATAAAAGAGAAAGTATTTTTGAGAGCGGAGGTAGTACATACATATACATACATACATACATATGTACTCCGTATATAAATACGCCATATACAATTTTTTACCCATCTTTTTACAAAAGCTTATATTCTTAAATGTTCCATGGTTTCAACATACATCTTGTTGTTGTGTGTAGAAATAATATGCTCCTTATTTGTTGCTACTCTGTAAAAGTTTTTTTCTTATACAAGCTTCAAATGTACAATGTTCTCCATCTTTCTTTTTGGGTGTGTCTAAGACTTGAAACCAGACAAAAAAGTGACATGATTTTGTTTGAGAACAAAAAAAGGTCAAGAAAACTTACACTGCTCTATTTTACTGTGATCTACTGTTGCTTCTTCAATGTTGAAGAGGAACTAGTATATATTATACACTCGGTATAGGATAGGAAGTCACACCTAAATCTTTTTTTATCTTGTATTTGAAAGTTTTATTCTTGTTTTGCCTTTAGGAAGAATGCCTATTCTCATAATAGTGGCATCAAAATCATACAATCTCCAATTACCCAGCAACCAGATTCATGTTCGTTTGCAGCAATGGCAAACAAATCGAATACCAAAAGAGAATTGCTTTTGCTGAAGTAGAGGTCCCAACTTCACTCCCACCTGGCCCTATACGATCACTTTTGGTGGGGGATATACTTATATGGTTCACACCCAGACTCCTTGAATTGGAAGCCTTCGGAACTCCTCAAACAAGGGACCGATGAGGATCACTACAATAAGGGGGCTGGGATTCGATCTGGAATGTCTTTGTGGAACCGCCTGACGAATTCGATTAGTGACTGCAATTATGTTTATCAACACAAGCTCAATGTTGTTGGATTGAGGCCATCACTTGTAGAGTTTTCTTATATTGCGGTGATTAAACTAAGAAAAAGTTATTGTCTGTACGGGTCAAGACCTTATACCGGCCTTGACTGAACAGGCATCTTGCTAAGTGGATGTGTGACGATGAAGAAAAGGAGGAGAAGCGCATAAGACATGTTGTGTTAGTCGGAGAGTATGAAGTCGAATAGAACGATCCTTACAGTCTTGAACCGAACATACACTGGCTTTATCAAAATTCTTACCCTATTATATTTCCAACAAATCAACTCTTCAAAGAGAGTATATTTCTTGAAAACGTTTCAGTTATCCACCAACTAGAAGCATATAACAAAATCTCCTATCCACCAAACGTATTAGTTTCAAGGGGCAAAGCTGCGAAGGTGAAGACTATGCAAGATGCTGATAGGGAGAAGAGAGAGCAAGAGAGAACATTTGCATTAAGGAGAAGGGAAGGAACTAGGGGGAAAAAGACCAAAAGTGTAGGTAAGTATTAGCTACTGGATGACAGCAACTTCCAACTGCGTAGAGTACACAGAATTGCATGCTACTTCGAAGTTCAGACGTGTCTTTCGTTTATTTGCATTATTATTACTCCCTCTGTCCCATAAAAATAGGGACATATTAACTAAAGTGGTAAAATAAGAGAGGCTAATTTTACCACTTTAGTCAATATGTCCCTCTTTTTATGGGACAGAAAAATAATAACGATGTAAATAAATGAAAGACAATCCAAACTAAGTAGTAGCATGCAATTCTGTGTACTGTACGCAGTTTGAAGTTGCTGCCATCCAGTAGCTAACACTTACCTATACTCTTGGCCTTTTTCATGTAGTCCTTTCCCTTCCCCTTAATGCGAATGTTCTCTCCTTCTCCTTCTTCTCCCTATCGGCATCTTGCTTTGTCTTCACCTTCGCAACTTTGCCTCTTGAAACCAATACGTTTGGTGGATAGAAGATTCTGTTATATGCTTCAATCACTACCCGCGGGTGGATATTCGAAACGTTTTAAGGAAATATACTCTCTTTGAAGGGTTCACTTGTTGGAAACTCAATGAGATAAAAATTTTGATAAAGCCAATACAAGTCCAGTTCAAGACCGTATGGATCGTTCTCTTCGGCTTCATACTCCCCGACTAACACAACAACATGCATGTGTTATGTTCTTTTTCTTCTTTTCTTCATCACACACATTACACATCCACTCAGCAACATGCCTGTTTGAGTCAAGACCGGTATTGACCCGTACGAGCAATAACCTTCTCTTAGTTCCATCACCGCGATATAGGAAAACTCTGCAAGTAAGGTCTTCAATCCAACAACATTGAGCTTGTGTTGATAAACATGATTGCAATCACTAATCCAATCTGTGAGGCCGTTCCACAAAGAGATTCCGGATCGAATCTCAGCCCCCTTATTATAGTGATCCTCATCTGTCCCTTGTTTGAGTAGTTCCCAAGGCTTCCAATTCAAGCGGTCCAGGTGTGAACCATGAAGTATATTCTCCCACCTAAAGCTGGGAGTGAAGTTAGGACCTCCGCTTCAGCAAAAGCAATTCTCTTTTGGTATTCAACTTGTTTCTCCGTTGTTGTGAATGAACATGAATCTGGTCGCTGGGTAATTGGAGGCTCTATGATTTTGATGCCACTCTTATGGTGATACCAAGAGAAGAGAATAGGCATTCTTCCTAAAGCAAAACAAGAATAAAACTTTCAAATACAAGATAACAAAAAATTTAGGTCTGACTTTCTATCCTATTCCGAGTCTATAATATATACTGGTTTTCTTCAACATTGAAGAAGCAACAGTAGATCATAGTAAAATAGAACATTTTAAGTTTTCTTGATTTTTTTTGTTCTCAAACAAAATCATGTCACTTTTTTGTCTGGTTTCAATTCTTAGACACACCCCAAAAGGAGGAGAATAGTGACAAAAATTTGGGAAAGAGGGAGTATTTTTAATAGAAATGAGAAGGAGATTGTTGGACACCATTTGTTTGAAACGTGAAGAAGTTTTTGGGACGGGAGAGTATTTTTTGTTTGGAAAGGCTATGAAATGCATGACTAATTGCTATTATAAGGGGAAAGGAATACATTATCCCACTACCTGTAGGTTATATATGACTTGAAGTTGTCTAGCTGTTGGTATAACTGTGAATTGTGATCACAAGCAAGTTTAACACAAAACTCTGAAATATATTTATGTTGTGTTGCATGAAGACATTTTACATCCCTTGTATTTTATGCTTTAGATAGGAGCCTTTGGCGGACTAGGATTAAAGTAGCTGGTTAGAAGCTCGGTGCTGCAGAGGTTTTTGTAGTGTGTTGTGTTTGATTGGAATCTTCTACTTTTGCTTGCTGGACTTTCATTTCATTGTACTTGGTGCTTTATCCTGATCTTGTTATATCCTGTTATATTGTGTCCCCTACCATATTTTTTGTGTGCAGGTTGAGCCGGGGGTCTCTTGGAAACAGCCTCCCTACTTCCGAGCAGGGGCAAGGTCTGCGTACACACACCCTCCCCAGACCTTACTGTAGTGGGATTCAACTGGTTGTTGTTGTTGTGTATTTTATGCTTGAACCTCTCTATTTCTAGTGCTTTTGAATATATATATATGTGTGTGTGTGTGTGTGTGTCTATATATATGTGTGTGTG